TTCCACGAATGGTGTTGCAGTTCCCTTTTTGGAAGTTTCTTTTCACCATGATGTAAGTCTCTGAGTCAATATACGAGTTTAAGTTAAAATTAAATAAAAAATAGTGTGAAATTTCAGCCATTTTCGTCTAAATTTACTAATATTTTACTTCGACAGTATACACGCCCTCCTTAAAAATACCACGTGGCCGCCAAATCACTTGTGTCTCGGAAATGACGAATTGACATGTGATGCCTAGCTTTCATTTAATCTGTGAGTTTGAAAGTGATTCATAAAGGGAACCATTAATTATGTTCATACATGCGTGTTCCTTTGCTCGACAAAGCGTATTCGCCCAAGACAACACCCACACAGCCAACTTGTTTATATTTGCAATACGTTGAACGCTTTTGGAAGAGCGTTTCATATGGATGATTTGCTAAAATATAATACATGAACGCGCGTGTATCGTTTTCTAGTAATATATGTTTATAAGGCAATAAAAATGGCGTTTCATTGCCGACGTGTTAGAGTTACACTTTAACTAAATAATGTGTTAAGAATTGAAATTTTGAAACAGCACATTGCTGGTATCCCCGACCGCTAAACTAAGCTTAACTCAGTGTTTAGACGCGTTGGAAGTTATAATCATAACTCGTTGAAAACCGTCCACCTCAAGATGCATCAACATACAAACTTTGATGGTCGCAGTTGATATACGCCGGATAAATGGAATCTCACATGTTTTCATTTTTAATTACGGTCAAAATGTAGGTCACAGTGATCAATTTTGTATGTGAAACCCCGCCTCCCCAAGATGTACGAATCTATCAATTGTTACGATCGCAGTTAAAATGCGGTAAATCACATATTTTGCGAACTAATTTAAGTTTGTTTTTATTTGTGAATACTTAAATTCGTGTTTGGGAAGAGTTCAAATTCAATAATAACTGTTTCTGTGGCTGATATTCGCGTAAGATTTGAATTCGGAGTTTAGTATATCCTCACGAATTTACGTTAAAATCTATCTAAAGATAAGTCCTCGATACATATGTTCTGAAAACTAGCATTGCATGGTAGGAACCACCAACAAGTTTTGCCCTAAAAATTTCTAAATCCTTATATGAGACCTATCCTGTTAAACAGATAGTCGTTCGCCATATCAGTCAACATTTCGTTGTGTTCTAAGTGAGGACCAGTAACGGAAGTAGTAGCAAACATGTATGGCGAATATCAACTTCTTGTTTACCAAGTACTTAGTTATTAAGATAAGGGTTTTGCGTCGTCATGAAAACTAAAGCTATTTATGAGGAACCTGAGAGTCTGTTTGGTTTTCTGACCATGGAAGTACACGTGACCTCAATTCCAGACCATCGACGCACGCAAGAGACGAAGACACTGATCCATGCATTGGTGACATCATCTAGACTAGACTGGGTATGATCTACTATATGGAATCAATGTTACTTTATCATTTTGTCTCAAAAGAGAGCAAAATACAGCTTCCGTATTGTGAAGCACACATCGAAAATAGTCGTTCTAAGTATATTTGAAGATTGACCTGCAATTTGACGGCGTTAACGGTAGAATGAACGCAGTTGGCAACGAACGAACAAATTATATGGTGCACGTTAGCGCTCTATATATACTATGTCAGTTGCCAACTTCGTTCATACTACCGTATACGCCGTCAAAATGCAGGTCAATCCTAAATTTACTGAGAACGATTGTTTTCGGTGTGTGCTTCACAAAACGGAAGCTGCATTTTGCTCTCATTTGTACTTGCTGTGATAACGTCAAAGACCCAAAATGATGTAACAGTCGGGAACCGTCGGCACTTTCCGTAAACGAGTATTTCTCGTTTACGGAAAGTGTCGACGGTTCACGATTGACAGCCCTGCGTGCGGGGGAGTTCGAGACGTCGATATGTTCGCCTCTTTATATGATAGCATATATATACTTTTTTTCTGATCTCTTAGACGCGCTCGCCATTTGAACTGTTTTTCGTCACTATGTTGAGCATATCTTTTATGTTCACACCTTACTAGGATTTAGCCATGTCGCCATCGGGGTTAACAAGTACTACCCGACCGGTTTCTGTGGTATGGTCCACCGATTTGTGTAACGCATGGTTGACTTTACTTTTCGAATGAATCTTGATGACCAATTTGCATTGCAGACTAAATACTATTTTGATGAGAATAGATCCCGCATTAGTTCGTCTTTCCCTTTCAGCCATTTCCAGAGCTGAAAAATAGCTCTGGAGCGATTTTACAAATCGAAATTCCTGATCTAACATTACAAATGACGCCGAGTAGTAGACCGTCAAAAATGACTGTTCTAAAAACGTTCTTTTCACAATATTAAATTAAGTACACAAGGAACGTTGTTCGTGTCTGTATTATTTCCTGGTAGCCCACGTGTACAGTACATGGAAACGTATCGATGGAGTTATTTGAAGAACTTCCGGCTTCCCAGCTTGAAGTGGAAATGGAGTCCGATTCGATTTTTTTTTATTTCATTGATATTTTAGAAACAAATGAGGTGAAATAGTATGCGATAGTTGTATTATAAACATAATAACAGGCGCAACGGACCGGAGTGCATATCAATACTATTTAATAAGCCGTGCGTTTGGAACGATTGCCTTGTCCCATTATGTGGGGGGTATATTCAGGAAGGTACAGGACACGCCTGAGGAGACCGGAAAGGCACGTCATTTCATGTATCATTACTGACAACAACATGTCGCAAGTGCATACAGTTCAAGCGTTGTAATTTGTATCACAGGGACCTGAGAAGTTGTTACAGCTATATTTGGAACTAAACTGAGGTGTTTAGAGTATCTTTGCACGTGTTAGGGGTTTATATAAACTTTCAGTAAAAATGTCATCCCTAATGATGATATATATATATATATATATATATATTTACATTTGGTGTGGCAAAGCCCTTCTATATTACTACTAAAGTACTGCCAATAGCAGCTTCATGGTATGCGACTATAACTTTAGTTGGTCTTTGAAGGGCGTATGAATACATCTGACTTGCACAATGTAAACAAGCATGGCCGCCATACACTGTCAACTTACCACAGTGACATGAGATTTAAGATTCAATGTGAAAATGTCTAATAAAATATTTTCTGACTAATTTTTTAGCATTTTTTTTAATGGTAAGATTTAGGGTGAAATTTGAAGAGAAAAAAGTCCAAAAATGATTAAAAAAAATGTACCCAGTGGGTTCTGAGTAAATACACTGTCGTCTACTGCTGCTGCTGAGATGGCTGAGCATCAAGAGCTTGGAAACTTTAATCTGCAAATTCCAGTTTGTTTACAAGAAAGTGATCATGGCTGAATACCAAGTGATGATGATACTTTTTTGGCAACAATAAGAATTGCAGAACTTCTTGAGGTAGTACCAACCGAGATATCAGAATTGTTGAACGAAGCAATAAGCAGCATTGATACTGTCAACCCTCCAACAAACCAAAACCTGATCAAAATAATGTTCATCTAACTGAAGTCCGTGATCAGGAACCTGAAGTCAAGAAACCTAGATTCTCAAGTGTATCTAGCCATGATTTGGGGCAATTATTTGCGGAAAGACAAGCACCAAGCACTAAAAAAAATACAGCATGGGGGTTGAAAATATTTCAAGGTAGACAAAATGTTCAAGTATTGCTCTCAGCGTTAAAATGATTTTAATCTGAAGGGAGCGCTTTCTGTAACTGCAAGTCAAAGAGTCCATTTTGCTTTGTTTTAATTTTTGAAAATGGATTAATTTTGCATAGAAGGCCTCGTTGCTTTGCAGAAATTGATAAATTACACAGTATGTAAATGTACGATAGATATAAAACAGGACAGACCACTTCAAAATTTATTATTTGAACAAAACGTCTATAGTCAAAACAAATGGAACTTTCTTGAAAAAATTCATATTATATACTAGAAGTTCTAGTATATATCACTGGGGGGTGTTTTGTTCGAAAGTTGTTCCAAACTCCTAATACATGTAAAGCTTACTCTGAACATTTTAGTTTAGATCCAAATATAGCTGTACCAAGTTCTCATGTCCCTGTGTTTTTTGTTTGTTTTGTTTTTGTGTTAAATAATTCACTTTAAATTGGTTTTAACTCATAGAAGCAAATGTTAAAAAAAAAACCCAGAACAAAACAAATAGCTACAACGCCACAACCACTCACTATTTCCATCTGTCGCCACCTCAGCGTTTTTTGTGACTTTTATACGACAAAATCGGGTTCTTACGAGGTACATTGTAAGTGAGGTAGGGACAATGATTATTTTACATTTTAACCTAGAGGCGATGAATCATATTACTATATTTGATAGTATTTAACGTTCGCGCACGTGTAATTTCCCAACAAATCATGCACGTGCAGATTCTATCAAAAAGATCAAGCTTTATTGTAGGCGACTACGTTGCGTGTGTGTTGCTTTTTGAGAGAGTAAACACGTGTGCAAACATCCATGTTTTAAACTAATAAAGAATGACTCCTGGTTGACGTGCAGAAAGTATTACATCTCCTGTGACATAGATAATCAATCTATAATATTTTCGTTTACTGGAAATAAATGAGCATGTGATAAATAGCCCTATCTAGCTAGCTAGAATAAGCTACACTAAAGCACATTAAGGATCTGCCAAAACCCGCTCTGCGCAATTGGAAACTGTTTAGTCATTACGCCTGGTCACCGGGAGTGTCGTTTTGTGATCGTTTCGTTTTTAGAGGTTTTTTTTCCAGAAAATTGCAAAGCAGAGGGCGTTTACCCTTATTCACTTATTTTAATTCGGAAAATACCTCACAAGTTTTAAAAAGGCAATCGGAAAATATAAATAAAATAAGAACTGAGTATTGTATAGCATCTGGTTATTGCAGGAATGTTTCACATTGCGATGTAAGGGAAATAACTCCAACATTGAAATTGCTAGAAAATATTCCGGACATGTGCAAGTCTCTTTGACAGAAAATGTTAAATGAACTTCCGGTTCCTGGAAAAACATGAACAGTAATTTCTGGAGTTATTATTTTAGTCCAGTTTAGACTAAGAGCCAAACTTAGAGCAAAAACAAGTGTGCGTATCATTTTTGAATACGGAAATGTCTTTGGAACTGTGATTGCTGGTCATTTATCTAACCAACTTATACACATGTACACATTTTTATCTTGGTCGGTTTAACCGGAAACTGCACCGGGCGGGAGAGGCTCGCCAAAATACAACCAATCCCAGCGAATGGAGGCTGATTTGGAATGAAGAGTCGACATGCATAACTGTTTGCTTTGTAAACTGTACGTTCCTCTATAGAATTAGAAACTTAATGGATACTTTAAAAGTAGAAGGCAAATGGTGTTATCATATTTCTAAATTTCCCGCATTTGCCATTAAATTGTACGTTGTCTAGTTACAGTAGTCCGCTAAAACTGGCTTAAAAATTCTGATCGGTCGCCTAAACAGTATTTTTGAGCCTGCGATTATGGTCAGTTTTGGCGGACTACGTTGTAGCAGAGACGTATATAACATGTGTTATATACGTCTCTGGTTGTAGTACCCGGTTCCGTCTTATTCAGTTGTATGGTGACGTTTTGGTGATTTCAAAAAGTCGTTTCGATATCTTATATATATCAATTTATCCAGTGTGATATTTCATATGTAAATTCTTAAGCATTTTTTTCCATTTCAAATGAAGGATAACTCAAGGTAGGGTTTGTGCCCAGCCAAGGCTGTTCTGGTTTATACCGTTCCAAAACGGTTGGACCACAGGGTTCAACAAATTTATATCGGAGGACTCATTTTTATATCGGAGGACTCATTTTTTACCATTCATAATAACGTTATTAAGGTGGGTCCATCAGATTACTTTGCTATTACAGGTACTTGGTTATCTATTCATTTTCCACCCTTGTTATGATGACCTATGTCCTTATAAAATATTCTCTATGATTTGATATATCCAGGTTTGGCCTATTGCATTTTAGTTCTGTCCTTACTTCCTGTAATAATAAAAAAAACAAATAATGCATCTTTTAAAAATTTACTCTGATTTGTTCAGAAATGAATTTAATTTGAAAAAAAACACCATTTGATACACTGTACTCAATACACTACAAATACAATAAGAAACAAAGTGATTTGTTTACTAATTTAAAAAAATCTTTCAATGAAATTTTGCTTTGATGTTTTGAGTTGAAATGCAACCTGATAAGATACATTCTTAACAAAATTTCACCCCTAAAACAGATTACATGCAGAGAGGAAAAGAGTACAACACATGAAACAAATTTAAATGAAGGACAATTACCTGTAATGTATTAATGTATTTCCTACCACAAGTTTGGTCAGGGGTTTGTTTGCTGAGAGTATGATAAAAAAAGTAAACAATCTGACAATTTGCACAAACGCCTGTGCACTATATGATATGACACTATATATTTACCTCATTGTAGAAACTCGTCTACTCGTGACTGAATGCTTCGGTTCGGTATGGGTCCTTGGGGTCATTGACGATGATTTAAGACATTTATTTTCAGTTTTCAGTTGCAGTTTTCAGACATTCTTTCGTATCACTTGAAGCTGTTTACACTGCCATTTATTAATTATTTCTGAACAAAATCTCTGTCAACAGTTAAGACGGAATTGCTGTAATGCTTCGAATGAAATTTTCCAACGTCAAGACCTTCAGTACAGTAGAGAATTGTCAGTGCGATGGGGTAACGATTGAAATTCTTCCATCGTACGAAATGACCTATTCCGTTTGAGTGATGATAAACTCTGAGTATCGTTTATTACATTCAACATGTACAGTTGTAGATAAGTGAGCAATAACGATGGAAAGCACATATTCTTTCACTTTCAGACTTCATCCTCAGCAGCTGTCATCAGCTGTGATGGTAAACTTCTGATGTAAATGACTTTCGTTCTTATTTATGGGCGTTTAATATCACATTTAATATGATTATTTAAATACAAAAGATGGTCGCACTTGATAGTTTTCACTTTTTTTGACGTTCTTAATTGTTGTTGATAATTGTCAATGACACTTTTTAAGTACAAGCTTGGTGTCGTTAGGTTACGGTAAATCATTCTGAAATTTAGCCAACATACGCAGCTTCCTGCGCAGTGGCGATAAATTTGAGAAGGATGAACCCACCTTTATGTATTACGTATAGTAAACAAGGAGGCCTCCGATATAAATTGAACGGTGCCCATCTGGTTGGACCACGGGGCTCGAGTCGTTACAATGATTATGTGTGCTGTGATCTACTATATCAGTAAAGCATAATATTATGTGTATTGGACATTTGTAACAAGGCCCTGTGGTTGGACCAGAGTTGTTCGTTTATGAATAGCTCAAGTTTCTTCTGCCCTGACAACAGACTTGGACATTTGGCAGATAAATGTCTGGTGGACACCAAACATATATATCTGTTAGAATATCCAAGTCTGGTGTCAAGGCAACAGGAAACTTGGGTTAGGTTATGAAATTAACGGACCTACCCTTTCCTCTGGCCATGACGCCAGAAAATTTGACAGGTTAGGTGTTTCAACACCAAGAGCAATGCGTCTGTATCCAAGTCCTGCATTGACATCTGTAGTTGTTCCCTCAGGATGTATCCCTGAAATACTCCTTCAAAAAGAAAAAATACAAACTGGTTGGAATACATGATGAACAGACCCCTGTTCAAAAGGAAATTATGGGTGTCTAGAATTTGATTTCTGTACGGTAGCTGTATTCTTTTATCTTTAAAAGAAATCTTGTTTGATTTATATATCAGTTATATGTTTTATGATCTCAGTAATGTTTTGATATATATATTTATTTTGCAGATAACATATTTGCTAAAACAACAAGGCCAAGGTATGGAGGAAACTCCTAAATCCCTGATTGAGGGTTTCATTCAGACTGCCCAAACACACCACACCGTAGTCCCAAAAAGGTGGAGACATGCTCTCACTCGCACTCCAGACAAGTTGCCATCTCCAGGGGTTGGCACTCGGTCCGCCACAAAGAGGAAGCAGTCAGACCTGCCAGAAAAAACACCTCGCACCATGGTATTCACAGTCCACTCTTTTCATAAACAGCTATTCATAAAATAAAAGTTATAGTGGCATGCTATTGGCTATGGTTTCTAAAATAAATACGCCACTGAAATATTATGACCAGTAGCTGTTTATTTTGTAAAGTAGAAATAAAACCAAACACATATCTGACATTACAATTTAGTATTGAATTCCTTTGCTCAGGGACGCTTTGTGCAAAATGCTGGCAGAGGATTAGGGTCAATAAAAAAATAGCTTCAGTGTAATTATTGAAAGCCTATTCCTTAAAATATGGATGGAATTTAATGATTTCAACAAAATTAGGCATGGAGCATCCCTGAGACCACCAGAGAATTCTAACCAAAGTAATTCACATTTTAGCATGTAGCACAGATGAAGGGTTATAAGTAACCTCATAACTTTGTGCAAGTTATCTCATTGTCATGATCAAATGATATGTTTTGGGCCAATTTAAAAACCAGGGTTGCCCCTTAGGCCTTTGATTTTTTGTTGATCATGTTAATTTTGACTTCTCAATTTCCGCATAAGTATAACTAAAAACATATTACATTGTTACTCTTATGGCCTGAGTTATTTTTTGGAGCAATGTGCTATCACAGATTTCGGTATGTGCACTCCAAACCTGAAACATTTTCAACTAATTTTCTATTCTACCAGATGAGTTCTCATACCAATCTTTGTAGTAATATTCCTGTGGTTGCCCTACCAGTAGTTATTTTCGCTCTTTTGAGTCAATAAGAAATCTGAAATTGCCACCACAATGTAGTTTAGATAACAAAATAAACATGAGAGATACAAAAATAATAGGTTTCTTGTTTGATAGATTATTGCACAAATTTAGTCAACTTCATCATCACATGGAAATTATTTAGTATCGATTTATTAACTTTTATGTGAATTACTGCCCCTTTATCTAATCTGCTAATTGTATGTCAAATCATGGCATTAGAATAATTTTGTATTGCATTATCCCCAGGTTCTGTGTACCACCCTAAAATATGAAGGCAGAAGGAATTAGCGATGTAATTTTATTATATAATCTGCTTTAATCTTATCAAGATTGAAACCTATATGACCAATGCGAAAACAGAACTACTGTCAACCTCGAGGACGAGGCGTCGCCGATCATTCCCAGCTGCCCCAGTCAATGTAACAGCTGACAACTTCACACCCAGAACCAACATCGCCAAGCTTATAGAACAAGGTATCAGTATCATTAATCTCAGCTCACTTATATGTACACACATGTACATGCTCCAATCAGTTTTGTAAACATGAGGATTTAATGCAATAAAATAATCACAAGTTAAAGTAACATCTGCCTATTGACCACCAGTAGTAATAGATCACTTTCAATCAATAGTCACCTTTTATAAGGGGTCAGTCACAGTGGCTAGGACACTTATAGAAAAATAATATTTCAACAATCTGAAAATTAAATGCCGGTTGAAATGTAGGAACTCAATAATTTTGTAAATAATTAAGAACTTACACCTTTTTCCAATCAAAATTCTGGTGAAAATCATTCTATACTGGAGTAGTTATGAATTCTTAGATCCTTTTATGATTTCATCAATTTGAACCTGGTTAAGATATCAATAGGTATTAAAGTGATGTCTCTGTCTATTATGATCAGCTGTGAATGGAATCATAATTGTGCTGCATAGGTAATCAAATGTCAGATCTTCAATAATGCAACTTGCAAGTAGAATATTAATTTATAAAAGAAACATATCTCTTTTAAACTTAAACTACCCTCTTAAATAGCTTGACAAAGGTCTACACTACACAAACAGATGGTATATATCTATGTACAATTGGCAAGTCCATGTTCCTTGTGATTCAGACTGGCTTGTAATCTGTGTAGGAAGTTGTCTGATGAAGACTGATAGCAACACTATGTTAATTGCTGCAGAAAGTCCAAAATGTGGGTCTGTCATTCCAAGCAATATGAGTTTGAAGGGAATAAATATTGAAGCAGTGCTGTTTCTTATGCAAAATGACATTAACTGGAAAATTAAAATAAATGCAAGTGTTAAAGCTATCTGACAGACAGTTAATCTTATCCAGATAACCAGTTAAAGCAGTCTGACAGACCGTTAACCTTATCCAGATAACCAGTTAAAGCTGCCTGACAGGACGTTTATCTTATCCAGATCACCCGTTAAAGCTGTCGGACAGACCGTTAATCTTATCCAGATAATCAGTTAAAGCTGTCTGACAGACCGTTAATGTTATCCAGATAACCAGTTAAAGCTGCCTGACAGGACGTTTATCTTATCCAGATCACCCGTTAAAGCTGTCGGACAGACCGTTAATCTTATCCAGATAAGCAGTTAAAGCTGTCTGACAGACCGTTAATCTTAAACCAGGTAAAGCTGTCTGACAGACCGATAATCTTATCCAGATAACCAGTTAAAGCTGTCTGCCAGACCGTTAATCTTATCCAGATCACCAGTTAAAGCTGTCTGACAGACCGTTAATCTTATCTTATCCAGATAACCAGTTAAAGCTGGCTGACAGACCGTTAATCTTATCCAGATCACCCGTTAAAGCTGTCGGACAGACCGTTAATCTTATCCAGATAACCACTTAAAGCAGTCTGACAGACCGTTAATCTTATCCAGATCACCCGTTAAAGCTGTCTGACAGACCGTTAATGTTATCCAGATAACCAGTTAAAGCTGCCTGACAGACCGTTTATCTTATCCAGATCACCCGTTAAAGCTGTCGGACAGACCGTTAATCTTATCCAGATAATCAGTTAAAGCTGTCTGACAGACCGTTAATGTTATCCAGATAACCAGTTAAAGCTGCCTGACAGACCGTTAATCTTATCCAGATAACCAGTTAAAGCTGCCTGACAGACCATTAATCTTATCCAGATAACCAGTTAAAGCTGCCTGACAGACCGTTAATCTTATCCAGATAACCAGTTAAAGTTTCCTTTGTACCTGTTTGTAATTGCAGTGAAACATGATTTTTTACAGGTGAGGAGGAGACGCCTTACATCCGCCCTCGGACTCGTCGCTCTAGTAGGAAGTCTTTGCCCGCCCTTCCTGTCAATGACACCATCCAACTCCTTCCCATGTCTCCCAGGTTTGTTAGAACCTTTTATTGTTCAGCATTGGAAACATAATTATGTATATAGATGCTGGAAACCTGTATTATACAGTTATATCTAGATGATAAAGTATGGTGAAAAGTGGACTCAAGACTAGCTACTTGAGGTAGCTGAGCTGATTAAGTTTATAAGGTGTAGGGCACGCCAACTGGAGTTGCTGGCTGAGGATTTAAATTGACTTTATAATCCAATACAAGGGTAAAGGAACTGTTTTATTAAACAAAGAATATTTAAAACTCACTTTATACTAAACTTGTACGGTGAGAACAAACAATCACTGATGTTATATGTATATGGCATCATTGTCTTGTAATATCTGGAAATCCTAAACATTTTTTACACCGAGATAATGATCCACATTTTGGATCAAACACAGGAATATAATGGGTCATAGTTGTGCATATCATCAGTCATGCTACTGCTGTTTTTGGTGGTAGATTGCAGCATTGACTTCATTAAAATTTTGTATCCACTTCCAGGACTACACGATAATAATTTGTCCTAGGTTATATTATGTTAAAATATAGACTTTAATTTGCAGCATAGAAGAAGAACAGAGTAGGATGAATTCAACACTTCGTAGTTCACGTCGCTCTAATGCTGCTTCAACACGGGGTAACACTATAGGTAATTATCCAGACTCGGCCAGGTTTAATTCCTTGCCTACAACCATTTTTGTCTGTGACTCATGTCAAGACAAAGGTCTTAATCTCCAGTTAAGGACATCAGCATTCAGAATGGCCTTTACTTCAGATTCAGAACCAGTGCAATTACTTCCCCTCAACACAGGTGTAAATACTGAACATTTTAGCACTTTACACCCAAGTTCTAAAGTTGTTTGTTTAAGTAAAGTTATACAGTGTTAGAGATGTTATGTGCATAAAAAGGGATGTAGTAACATACATGCATTAAAAGGTGAAACAAAGTTTGATGACGGTCAGGACAGTGACTGCTGTGAATACACACATGCATCATTTCCTCCCTCAGATTTGGTATCTCTGTAAATAATAGATTTAACCTAGTTTCAGAACACAAGTGAATTTAATTGATTTTATAATTAAATCACATTTCCTGGTTTATGTTGATGTATGAATTTATAATTATGTAAATATTATGCTTTATATAATTGTATATACTATATAGGTCTTTATACTACAACTTAATAGTTATTAGTATGATTACACTTAAACACTAAAAACAGTGTAAGAGTTTACTTCATAATTTATTTTACATTTTAAGAGTTAGTAAAATTTGGATTTAAATTGTCATGTTGTATAGCTTATTCATTTCAATAATATTGTAAATAGGATGAAAATTAACTAATACGATATCTGTTCAGCTGAAAGTGTGAGAAAGAGGAAACGGCAATCAAGTACAAGGTCTGTGACCAACCAAACTTTGGAGGATATTGATGACTCCATACATCTGCTTCCTGACTCGAGGTTAGTTAGAACAAAGTTTGCTTCTATTTACAAGTAGCTCTTATATTCCATCTTCTTATGTCAAACACTGACCTATCACGCCTGTAGAAATAATGTGGACTATTCCAGTTACATATATATTGTGAGTTGTAGTCTTTGTCTGTAATCATGCACAACACACTATAATTGGGCCTGAACACCAGCTGAAACGCTCAGATTAATTACTTCTATACCTTCAGTTCTGGTGATGAAGCTATGGAGACTGCTGACAACAGAAAGCAATCACCCATGAGAAACAGTCAGCGATCAAAGCTTCCTTCGTCTTCACAGATGTTTAACTTCAAGGAGGTCCTGTCAACTTATGAAGAAACGGAACAGGAAAGAGATAACATAAATACAGGTTAAACAAAATAGATCAGGAACATATCACAATAAACACAATTTGTTTAAGGTATACTGTAAAATCATAAATTTTCGTGGGACATTAATTTTCGTTTATTTCGTGGATACCAAAAATCCACAAAATTAAATCCCCACAAAAACATCAATTTGGTATGATATAGATAGGGGAAAATCAGTGAAATATAATGTCCCAATCTAATTAAAATCATATGTTACATGGCTTCGTTAACTTCGTACTACGCCTGAACATCTGAGTGTGCCGCGGTCAGGGTCACGTTCAGGTGACCTTTATATTTATAAACACTCATTAAATTTCGACCAATCAGAGACCCTCTTTTAAAAGGGCGCTCGGAGTTGTAACAAATATGGCGGACATTAATGAGAATTATGCGAAAGTTCTGAAGTTATTTGAGATTGATTGTCTGAAACCTGAACAGAAAAAGATATTCGAAGCTTTATTAGAGAAGAAAGACTGTATGGCGGTGTTGCCTACGCAATTATTACCCAAGGGGTACGTTTTCCTTGGCGTCGTAGAAACGTGAGTTTCGGCCGCCATATTTGTTTTGGAAAACTAATCTGTTCGATCCCCCTCGCTATTTATATATCAACCATGATATTCCGAATCGCTGGCAAACTTTTGCCAGCGCGCCTCTGATTGGTTCATCTAAAGGTCACTTGAACGTGACCCTGACCGAGGCACATTCAGATATTCAGGCGGAGCCATGTAACAGATGATTTTAATCAGATTGATAATGTCCTTGAAACAGGCAAGTATATGAAAACCACGAAATTTTAAACCCACGAAAATAAATGATTCTACATGTACAGTACTAAAAATAAGCAACAGCATTTTCTTTTGTAAATGATACTTTCTCTTCACCTTCTCTTCAACCTTTTGCTTACAATAATTTACAATTTTTTTGCAAAATCTTTCCAAAATTTGTAGCATACTTTTTTATTAGATATATACCTTAAAGGTTGTGTAGGGATTAGTTGTCCAATATGACCCAGCAGGAAGTAGGTATACCAAAGAATACACAATAAGTGTTCTGTCTGTTAATTAATTGATAGACCAGTGCTTTAGGTCATTTTATTGCCAGGCCAAAAGTTACATAAGTGCTAAATTTTCAGTGCAATGTTGTCTGGGCCATAAACTTTCAACAAGTGAAGATATTTTGATGGAATTTAAATAACACCTGCATCACCCACAGAGGATATGCAGTGCAAGATACTTATGTCGACCCGACCTTAATCTTAAGGTCAAAAAAGAGAAAAAAAATGCATATTGGATCATAAAGGGAGACATCTTTTCTTAATTACAAAAAGAAATTTTAGTTAATTGTGGCTGATGCCAACTTGATTAAATCTCATGGTTCGTAAATGACGTTAAACTTTTACAGCATGTATTTGTTAATCTTGTTTCAGATGATAACCTAAGTGAAAAAGTTCTTCCACCTTCATCACCAGAGAAGGAAACATCATCTAAATCTTCACCTATGAAAATCCCAGAAACACAGGAGATCCATGACTCTCAAAATAGAACTGCAATTGATCACAGAATTCACAGGTCTTCCATTTATATCCCTGAAACCCAAGAGGACAGCATGGCAGGAGAAAGTGAAACCCAAGAGGACAGCATGGCAGGAGAAAGTGAAACCCAGGAGGACATCGTGGCAGGAGAAAGTGAAACACTTGAGTCCTCTCCACTTAGACCACTTCCATCCTCTCAGTCAGAGGATGGGGCTGAAGCAGACAATGAGGATGAGGAAGATGAGGGTAGTCAAAGTATCTTACTTCACAAAGATCAGACCTCCACAGAGAAAGATGTCAATAAGGGAGGTCGTCGGAGGTCACTTTTCGGAAACAGGACTTACTCAGGAAATGATGTAAGTGAGAAAGATGAGAGAAAGTCGCTGCCTAGAGACCAGCCATCTACACAGAGTGATGTCATTGAAGGAGGTCGGAGAAGGTCATTACCCAGAGACCGGTCTTCCTCGGGGAATGATTTAGGTGAGAAAGTTCTGAGAAGGTCACTGCATCGAGATCAGACTTCTTCAGAAGACAATGTCATTGAGAAAGATGGGCGAAAGTCGATGCACAGTGACAAAGCAAGCAAACATGCTAATGTGAGTGGGAATGCCATAGAAAATGCTGGATCAGATCATAATCAACAGAGAACATTCGCACCAGAAATGATTTCCTCTGTAAAACCTTTTGATTACACAGAAAATGAGCAAAACAATTCTATATTTGACAAGTCCACTAGTCTAGTAGGAATGGAAGATCGTGATGATACAAGTGTCAGAGGAAACACGTACAAGGGCCTGGCACATGCCAGTTCCACTGCTGAGGACATGGACCTGGCACATCCCAGTTCCACTGCTGAGGACATGGGCCTGGCACATGCCAGTTCCACTGCTGAGGACATGGACCTGGCACATCCCAGTACCACTGCTGAGGACATGGACCTGGCACATCCCAGTTCCACTGCTGAGGACATGGACCTGGCACATCCCAGTACCACTGCTGAGGACAAGCAGGGCAGTGATGAAGAAGCCAGTGTTCATGAGGTGGAGGAAGAAGAAGGCCAAAACCTAGAAGAAGAGGGACAGATGGAGGCAGATTTTGTATTAGATGAGGAAAGTGCACATGTAGAGGAAGAGGAGCCTCTCGATAAAGATGCTGATGTTGAAAATCAGTCTGATGAGGAAGATGAAGAGGTATGTATAGTCATGTTGATGGCTGGAATATTGTCATCACATTGAGAACAAACATAGACTTGTGGTGTTAGTCTGGTCATATTAGTAAAAAAAAAATGGTGAACCTCAAGAAAGCTACGAAAAGCATGTTATTGGTTTTTCACAACCAAGAATATCTATCTTGTTACAGAAAAAAGTCTTCTTAAAGCAATTTTGGAGGAAATATACTGAGAAATAATTTTCACTTAGTCAAACTATTTGCCTAATGTTTATTTCGTCTTCACATTTAATTACAATGTACACTATTTTGTTGACTAATGTTCGCTGTAATGATAAATTTGCTTTCATAAAAGAGGGCAAATCAAGCGAAAATGAAACAGCAGCCAGAAGTTCCCAGTATACATTAGTATTTGATTTTAAACAAGACCAATGTTTCTTCCACCAAGAATTGACATGTAATGATCTTACCAGTACTTGTTTAATGTGACAGATGACAGAGGAGGTAACTGAGGATGTAACAGAGAACTACAGACTGGCCAAAACTCCCCACCTAGCCACACCCCAGGATAGCCAACGTCCAGCTGTCAGGCCACTGACTGATGTCCTAAAAAGCAGAAACTCTGCCCTTCCCCTTAGGTCAGTGAATGAAGTGCTCAAGGACAGAGGCAACACAACACCGTAAGTCCTTCTGCTGTAGAAAATTGATTGGTCTTTAATATATATGTAAAAATGTACCCGATTTCCATATATATATATCCACCCAGAACTTAGACTTGTTGAAGGGGGGGGGTATTTCCATATCTGCCCCATATCCAACACCTATATAATGATTTACTCTATTTTCTTCCTTTCCCCAAATATATTTACCAATGATTTTCCACAATAAAATCATGCTGATTTTGCAAATGAAACTATAAAAAAATAGTAAATCTTTCAGATAATACACAGATAAACCAAGAACATAAAGAGAGGAAACATGTTTGTTGTACCAACAGTATTTTTGCAAAAGTTTCCTAGCATCTGTGTTTTAAAAATGATTGTCAGTTGCCGACAATCTAATTGTATCCATTTCACATTGAAGCAATGTCTTGTTTCATAATGTCAGATAACAATATTAATGTACAGAACATTTTATAATCTGAACAGTATAATGTCCTGGTCAGGATTAGCCCCCCTTTTGAAATAAAGAAGTTCTCAAACAGGTTGCCAAATGCACCTGTATGGGATAAAGCTTTTCTTAAACTGTGCAAGTGTAAATGAGTTTGTTGATTTAACCCTTTCACCACTGTAGACCATAATGCCTCATCTATATCAATACATGGTAGAGTCTCCTAAAGTTACAAAGGGGTGAAAGGGTTAATAACTTCTTCAATGGTTGGTACATTTGCTAAAAAGTAAGATAATTTTGTTTTCAGGACAAACAAAGTTCAAAGTATTAAAGCACATGTAACTGCAGTATGTGCTTGTAGTGGTAACCATGTTACTGTCTACCATGTATCCCCTTTACCATCAGAAATGGTTATCATACAGGTAATGTTTATGCATGTTATCCTCATGCTCCAAAAAAATGTCTTATATTGACCAAATAGTGTTGCGTAAATACCTCCACCTGTTTACATGTGTGGTTATATGTCAAATTGTAAATAAATCATGTACTGTTAGATACTAGCATTTCACTAAGTAAGGTATATCTTTCAAATTCAATATCAAAGTTTTACTTTCTACACAAACCATGTACGTATTAAACGTGTCGCAACATTTCAAGACGTTTAATACGTACATTGTTTGTGCAGAAAGTAAAACTTTGATATAAAATATTTCCAAACTGATGAATCTTATTGAAGATGTCTTTTAAATTCAATTTTAGACCAAAATCAAAGGAGAAGGAAGTGAAAATAACCCAAAGGAAAACAAAAGCTAAAACTCGGCAGTCGGCACCTTTACCAGTGTCGGTAATTAAAAAAGTCTTCGGCCATTACTGTAAGATGAAGGTGTCATCGGATGTTCTCCCAGGGCTCATTAATGCGTAAGCTTTTAGACTACCATTTTACAACCATAATATTATCATTAATGTGTAAGCTGCACCTGTTAGATTACTTCTTATTCATATTTACATATTTATGACTTTCTTGAGTTTAAAATTTGTTTAATTCACAAGTAACATATTAATAGTTTAAGCTACATTGATAGTGACATGAAAAAGGATATTTAACGGGAGTTGAAATTGGAACAAAATTGGGAAATGCATTTTTCATTTAAAGTCCATACAATGCATTTAAAGTACTATGATGCACTTAATCCATTAGGTGCATCTTGAGGGAAACACTTAGGTCTTCCTTGTCAATGGCTTTGGTTCTATTTCACCCACCTGACAACACCGACACCATAGTGCCTTCTCAATAAATAATTGATCATAAAACTCAATAGACCTCTAGAAGATCTCATTGAAATACCTATTAACAAACTTCAGAGAGTTTCATGAATAGGAAAGGAAATAAGTCTGGTATTCTATATATCTCTTACACCAAATAACGTCTATGAACTGACAGATTTTGTTAAATATTTGATCAGAAAAAGCAAAGTGAAACCACAAATTTATGACATCATTGTTGTGTGTGTGTCATGGTGTTATAAAGGTTGACATTACATGTTATATGTAGCGAGGTATGGGGCTTCTATTCGGCTGGGGATATTGAACGTGTACACCTTAAATTTTGTAAAAGATTATTATATATGTAAAGCCTACAACACAAAATAACTGTTTATGGTGAACTAGGTTGTTTTCCATTAAAAATAACAAGATATTGCAGAATAATAAAAAATTGGCTGAGGATATTATGCGATTCGACAAACGATCTTGTTGGTCAGTATATAACATCTTGTACAGGATGCTGACCAGTTTTCTAAACAAAATTTGTCTAGTGCGGTAAAAGAACTTCTTTTTACTAATGGTTTTGGATATGTTTTGTACATGCAGTCTGTAGGTAGTATCCTTTATGCATTTATTTAAAATTAGAATTAAAGACATTTTTGTTCAAAATTGGCAGAGGGAATTATCTGGCTCTACTAGAGCAAGATTTTATATTAATCTTTCTAATAATTTCGAATATAAACTTGTCAACATAACAAGTTTCGTATAGCCGTAACAAAATTTAGAGTCTCTTCTAATCGTTTGAGTGTTGAGGTAGGCCGTTGGGACAGACCGAACCCTATTCCATATGAGAATCATACATGTAGCTGTTGTGGGGTTTTAGAGGACGAGTACCATTTCCTTATGGAGTGTACCTTATATTCTAAAATAAGACACATGTATATCAAGAGAAGGTATTTTCATCACCCAAATAGACCAAAGTTCCTGGATTTAATATCGTCTCTGAGCAGGAGTACATTAAAAGATATTGCCGCGTTCATTTTTAAAGCGAATGAGATACGGAACAATAATTTATTTAATCAGGAGTAACGTCCGCTCTGATGTCGTGAAACCTGCATTTAAGTATGGAAAGTCACTGTTTTACTTTATTATATATATATGTAAATTTAATGTATTGTACCACAACATATGGCATGTTTCAAACTTCGACCGTANTTGCTGAATAAAGATTATATATATATATATATGTAACATTAGGTGACTGTGATGATGATTCTTACACATACTACATACCAGTCCATTTATTGGTGTTTCAGGACAGAAAAATTCTTCAGACAGGTACCTGCTGACATTGAAGCCTATTGTCATCACGCTGGCAGAAAGACCATTGATGAGACAGATGTGGAACTCCTGATGATGAGGTTAGTACATAGTTTGGCACTGTGTGGTAATGTTGGTATAAGAGCTGTCATTTTAACTAGGTTAGAATTCAAATAAATTATCAGTCCAGTAGCTGCACAACTTTTAAGAAGCATTATACACATGTATCACAACTTGATGTAACATTACCATATTCAGAACCTGTAGAAACAGTCATGACTGCAGGAGGTAGAAGGATTTTCTATGTTATATTTGCCGCTGTCGTTTAATACGTTCCCTTGCGAAAAACATAAATAAACAAGAGATACAGTGGCATGAATTGCTCACCTGCTCAGTGTTCTACCTGAGCCTCTTGTTTTACGTGATTTTAAATGCATTTGCTATATTGGAATCAAAGATTTAGTAATAACTGCACAGATTTTAACTTTAAAAAGCTTTACTCCCTGTCCATATGTGTACACTGGAATATATGTAAGTGGGTTAGGTGGAAAGGAATTTGTTGAAATTAAAATGTGATGCTGAGGCACAAGATAAATTTGTCCAGCATGTCAAAATTAAATATAACATTATATATTTTTAATGTCGCTTTTTCAGGCAGCGGTTGATCAAGGACAACAAGTCACTGAATGTTTTGATAGAAGAAAATCTTCCCTTGGAATACAGACTGCAGCTCATTCCCATAGCCCGTTCCGGCAACATTGTCTATCCTAAGTAGTACTTTAATAGTACAGAAAACAGGACATCCTTCCCTCTTCTGGCAATATTTCTCCAGGAAATTACATCAAAACTAGAATTTACTGGAGGCTTTTTCAGAAGAGGCAATTTATTAACATGGAGTTAAAATTAGCTCATGCTTGCTATGAATTGATTGTTTTTTAGCATCATGGTATAAGAATATCTGTACTTGTGATCAGTGCAATTTTAAGTTTGCGGATAGAGTATCCTTAACAGGAATTGCCTCATATTGTGAGAACACACTTTCATGGAATGTTGACTCTCATGCCTTTTTGAGGGGGATCTGGAGTATTTGAATTTGTGACAGTGATCATACATATTATATCTTACTCTTGCAAAAGAAGTTTCACTATCAAAATATTTTTAATTTAATTATTTTAAAGTGACATATCTCAGGAAATGTCCTTGATGTAACCTGTCAGGTTTTTACATTACAGTTATCTGCAGTAAAATGGTATACAGCTTTTAGTTACACTTCCTTGATGGATTTGTAATTTAGGGATATATAAATGTTAATTTACTGTAGAATTTTGCTTTGGTAATGAAATAGCAGAAATAATAACACTTTAAAATATTACATTCAAGACTGGATGTACTGCTTCTCAAGAAAACTTTGCAATATTTTTGAGGTCTGTTAACGCTTTGGGTAATTTTGGGTATGAGTATATCGGGAGGGGATGTGAAGCAGTTACAGTTGTTAATGTAGGACTGGTTAAATTGAGTCTAAAATACTATTTAACATTTGTATAGTGGGACCTAGACAGAAAGTGATTGTTAATATAGGGATAACAGAAAGCTGCCTCCCTGGAATACCCAGTTACACTCTAAGACACTGAATGTACTCTGTTTATAGTTGACTGTTATATATGTATATGAAGATAAGTTCTTCAGGATTTTTCTTGTGCAATAAATGTAGTTAATTATTAAATGATCTCGTTTGTTTGTGTTTTTTTCACTGGCATTTATCCTAATCATTTACCACCATCCACAACTTTTAGAAAGTGTAAGATCGGGAGCAGAAAATAACGTAGAATTTTATGATGACACTGAAGTGATATATAAGTTTCTGGATGACAATCCTTTTAGGTAGGTGTCCTTATTATGTCAAATACAGCAAGTGTATAGAACACCTATAATAATATACAACATTTGATATAGCGCCCTATCTAGCTAGAATAATAATAATATACAACATCTGATATAGCGCCCTATCTAGCTAGAATAATAATAATATACAACATTTGATATAGCGCCCTATCTAGCTAGCCTAAGAAACTCTAAAGCGCTTTACAGTACATAGATATACAATTTATATAATCAATACAATTTTGAGGAATTCGCAAAAGCTGCCTTATCAGGCGCTAACTACTAGTCCTATGCCACCTGGCTAATATCTCCCTATGTATGTATGCCTGCGTGTGTGCTGGAGATGTATTGTGTTCTGTTTGTAGTGGGACCGTGCTTCCAACGTTATCATTTATAGTGCCACCTCACTTGAATGCTACAGCACAGATACCGCAACATCCACCCCAGACCATTTGATACTCCACCTGGGTTGTTGGAGTTGTGTGGGAAGGAGAAAAACACTTTTTCTGAATATTCCTTGCGTACGATGACTTCGGGGATCGAACCCCGGCCGCCTGCGTGGAAAGCCGGAGTGTTAACCACTTCATACAATCATATCTATACGAAAACATGACTAATGTAGTAAGTAAATGTTTATGGCAAATCAAGTTGTTGTGAGCACTTTAAAGTTAATGTTGTAGAAAGGTTACGTGATACTATCCTACACTTGATTCAAGACCAATAAAATATGGCAGCTATCTTGCCGTCTCTCTACAGTAAAAATATACACACTATATTTTGAAAACACAAAGTCAAATTTATTTGAAGAATTTTTATATAGATAATACTAGTACAATATGTGTCGTGTCTCAGTAGTATTTAGTCTATATCATCTTTCCATTCCTCTCCGAGAGTCTCGGAGTTCTTTTGACTGATATTTTCCATATACTCATTTTCATCTCTATAGTCCATTAAAATGTGTTTCTTTTTTCTCTCCTTCCTCAGACTGTACCTCTGATTCCTCTGGATTTGTAACACCTTAGCATACTGTTCTCGGGCTTGTTTCCTGTCCACCTTTGATTGGATTTCCTCAGGCTCTGGGTCAATCTCCAAAGAATATGCTGTTTTTCGTAAACCTGACCTTAACACACTTAGTTTTTGAGTCATACTTTCATGGTTTAGCCCATACATGTCTTGTCTAAATCTTTGTGTAATGTCTGTGACTTGTGTTGTAGGGTCAGAGTTTACCTGGGTGTTTACATTTTCATCAAGTCCCTCATTTAGTTGAAGGTTTTTAGTATCCTCTGACCTGAACCTTTTTGCAATATCTTTCAGTGAGGTAGTTACAGGAATGTCTACAGGGGCCTCAAGCCTGGTTTCTGTTGTCTCATCCTTGTCCTCCTCGTCATCACAACTGTCCTCCTCCTCCTCGTCGGGAGGACCGAGGTCAGCCTGCTGTAGAAGCCGTTCCACCTGCTCGACGCTTGCTAACGACATGTCCTTCACAAACCTGACTGGTGGCACATTTGCCATGATCTGTAGCTCTTTCACCAGGTCTCTGAATAAAAAAAGTTCAATCATTTAGAAAGTGTCCAATATATTCAAATTAAATCTCCTCCCTCTATTTTGTAAGTATTGCTACTGTATTAAGATATTCTCATCGCATTTGAACATTGGCCTTTTTGACCTCTAATGAGGGTGAATTGTGCACATCATACCATAGTTAACACTAGGCAAATACGTTTTTTACCAGTGAAGGCAAAAGTTTCTAAGTATATAATGTACAGCATATTTATAATGCAATATGTTGTTAAATAGATTACTGAAGGGAATTGATCATAGTAATCTAACTAAAAACACATTCAAAGACACAGCCACTGTTTATATTTCAACTTGTTTGACCCTGAATGTTGGTCAAGGTCAGACTTGAGGATCCTCCAACCCAGCATCATACTTGGAATCAATACTGTAAGTTTAAGCCTCGTAGTTCTGTAGAAGTCTGACAGATATTAATTTTGTGACATTGAAAATGGGTAAAGGTCATTTGTTTGCACACACATCCCAGCATGCAACAGAAAGATTTGTTACTTTGAAGGTGGGTCAAGGAAATATAGTTGAACAAATCTGTTAGCTTCCAACACAACACTATCTATGAAGGTTTTTACATTACTTACTGCATAGCAACAGTCTTATTCTGGAGAATTTTCTCCGTCATCACATGATCATCTTTGTCAGAGGCTAACCAGTGCACTTTGATACAGCTAAAATCTGCCAGGATACTGATCTGTGGAGGTAACACACAGACAAAATATTAAATATTTCAACAGAATTAAGAGTTAAAAACCTTCATCCCCAAGGAAGGAAAAGTGTGATTCACTTTAGATTTCAGGGTGGTGTTTTACACCTAATATGATCAGTGACTAAAATGATACATGGACAGAGATATAGATAGATCTAAATCATTTGATACCAAGACAGTAACCTTGGGTCAGGATCACTTGGGGGATAGTACGTTGTTTTGAGTGGCTATACTGGCGATTAGAACATGGAATTTGGTTTGAACTCGAGACCGGTAGGTTGAGAGTTTAAACCCAAATTTCATGTTCTAATCACCAGTATAGACACGAAAAACAATGTAATATCCCCGTTCTAACACACCTTAACAAACATACTATGCTTATATGTTTAGAAACATTGTATTTCCTTGTACAAAAGTATGTAGTAAAGTACTCTGTGACCTGAACGGGCGGCGTGTCATTCTGCAGCGGACTGACCAATCAAAAAAATCAGAAAAAAGCTTTTAAAAGTCGGTCATTTGGCCCAGCCCATGCTGGCGAATGCTCGATCTGTATGTTGACGAGGCGGAATATTTGGATTGTTCGTGAACGTCCTGTTACCAAAATTTATACGACACATTTGGATTAATGTTGACTGAATTCTTATATTTCCATGTCAGTATGCGTACCAATATGTGCTTATCGACAAAATCGGTGATTATTTGTATAGATTTGTGAAGAGTTTTGTGAAAAATTCATTCGACACATATGAAATGTTTCATTTGATTTTGGATCTAACGTTTCAGTAATAAATGGAGGTAAGAACAAGGAATGATTACTTTTTACTTTTTAATTCATTCAACAAATACATTTCATCGGTCGTTTCTGTTCTTTTGCCTGCTAGCCTTATCAGCGGGATTTCGCTAAGAGGTTAGCTTGACGCCAAATTGTATTGGTTAGAAATGGGGTTGGGCTTAAGTGTGCTGGGAGGAGCTAAACTCAATTGATCATGATTCTATCGCAGATTAAAACATGGTCCATATCCAATCAAAACATGGGTTGCAAATGAATCGTGTCGGAATGTAAGATAGATACTGGGTCAATTAAGAGGGCCATTGAGACATTGACCGTGACTCCAGTTCTCCGTAATGGACAGTTACACTATATAATAGTGACTTTTACTCTGATTCACCTTATAATACCTATATAGGCCTAGGTCTGTGAAATGAGAGTGGATCTATCTTCCATAAGAACTAGACTTACCTTTGATAATTCCACTTTTACCCTGGGCTCAAGCACCCCTCGACACATAATTTGACAGATTGGATCAAACAGCAAATCACTGATGTACTCAGCTTTCCTCTTGGTTCCGAGTGTGCTATACCTCGGCTTCCCCTTATGACTACCGATAGCTTTTTGTGAGCACTGGTTTGAAAGATGAAAGATTGAAAAAATAAGTACTGTGAAGCAAGATGAAAATGACCCCTTTAGTGATTGGAGAAATATAGCCATTCTCCAATTTGGGGTGAGACAGGAAACGTTGACTGTCTCAAACTGCTCGAAAAAAAATCTATTATGCACTTCACCTTCCTATTGAAGGAATTTCTCAAACTTCAGTTGTCAAGAACCAAAATTTTGACTTTTATGACCTTAATAACTGACTATTTTTATTCATGACATCTTTTAAGAATAAAACACAAGTTATAATATCATATTACAATAGTACACTATTCTGTCCTAGAATACAATGAAGTGTATTAATCTTAACTATAACAAGTATTGTTAAGTATACCACTACCAGTATATAGACACTTCTATTAACTCAACAATAGAAACTAGAACACACGTTTAACATTTTCCAGAAATCAAACGTTATGTCACATATCATTCATGATGCAAAGATGTTTGATATGAAGCATGGATGTTTAATCTGATAGACATTCGGTAAGAAACTTTGTTTTACTTACAAGAGGAGCCAGGAACCATTTGTCGTTCCTGAAAAAGAATGAAAGTTTTTTAACTACATCTTAACATGCAAATTTTAGTTTGCTCATATCCTAATTGTATTGTGTACCATGATTTACACTAAGTCAGAAATATTTATCTTGAGCTGTAAGTATATTTTCAAATATGTATACCCAGCAAATACTGAACAGGAGGCCCAATGGGCCTGCATCACTCACCTGGTATAAATCTCACACTTGTAACCTTAAAAGGGATCTAAAATAAAGCTACAGGCAAAATATCAGTATTTATGATTAAATGTCATTCAAAAGTACCTGTTAAAAGATTTAAAAAACGTTTCACCCCTGTGACCTTGAAAGTCGAACAATGTCATTAAGTTGAACAAATTGTATAGTCCTTCATCTCAGGATGCAACTTGCAAAATATCACAACCCTATCCCTTTGTTTATTGAAATCATGTCATTTAATGTTTATACATATTTGACCAAATGTGGACTTGAAAGTGGGTCAAGGTTATTCAAATGAAAAAGCTTGATAGCCCTTCATCCCAGCATGCTACTGGCTCAATATCAATACCCAGGGCCTTTTGCTATTCTTCAGAAGTTGTTTTAAAGATTTTTAAACAAATTTGACTCTTGTGACCTTGAATAATTATTATTTTTGAACATATTTGATCCCTGTGACCTTGAATAAATTTTAAGGTCATTCATTTGAACAAACTTGGAAGCCCTTCATCCCATCATGTTATGGGCCTAATATCATCATCCTTCGCCTGTTGGTTATTCAGAAGAAGACGTATAAAGATTTGAACATATTTGACCCCTGTGACTTTGAATATGGGTGAAGGTAATTTATTTGATCAAAGTTGGTAGCCCTTCATCCCAACATGCTACTGGCCAAATATCCTCATCCTGGGCATTTTGGTAATTCAGAAGTTGTTTAAAAGTTTCAAACATATTTGATCCCTATGACCTTAAATATAAGTCAAGGTCATTCATTTAAACAAACTTGGTAGCCCTTCATCCTAGTCTGCCGCTGACCAAATATCAACACCCTGGGCATTTTGGTTATATATTCTGTAGAAGTTGATTAAAAGTTCTTTTTAGACAATTGACCCCTGTGACCTTGAATACAAGTGAAGGTCATTCATTTGAATAAACTTAGGAGCCCTTCATCCCAGCATGCCTCTGGCCAAATTATCACCTTGGTCATTTCGGTTATTCAGAAGAAGTTGTTTAAAGATTGTTCAAACTGACGCCAGCACCACGGCATGAGCTCACTTGGCCATTCGGGCCAGGTGAGCTAAAAACTGTAATGAGAACATTAAATACATGTATAAGACCTCAATTTTAAACCGCCACAAACATCTATGTATGTTATGGTTGAATGCACTTCGAATCTACTTTCACTATCCTATATAAAAAATCAAAATTTTGTACTTCACTATCTTTATTAAAAATCGCTATTTATATGGTTATTATAAACAACTTTTGGTTGAACGTTTTTTCGTGTTTTGACATTTTCGTGATTTTAGATGTCCCGACTTTTCAAAGGCTTCAAAGGTCGTGAAATACTTTCAAAACCAAAAAATGTTCAACCAAAAGTTGTTTGTAATAACCAATAGATATGTCGATTTTCAATAACGTAAGTGAACTACAAACTTTTGATTTTTTAAATAGGATAGTGAAAGTAGATTTGAAGTGCATTCAACCATAACATACACAGATGTTAGCGGGATTATTACCCATATGCGCCGTTGTGCCCAACCTGTTGATGAAGTTAATAAAAACAAATCAATAACAGGCCTGTGATGTCTCTATCGTGAACATGAATGTAATACGTATTTTTTTCATTTTTTAAATTAATTGTTTGATTTGTTTCAACATACGCTTAAACTTACCTATCATCTTTTCTCGCCATCTTCTTCATCATCTTATCCAATCTTGCCATTTTGGAGATTGAAGACACCGTTTTAGATCGTGTGCCACTACCACCGATCATGGAGGTCAATTCACTGAGGCTCCGTAATTTTAACATCTTTTATACTTCAGAAACAGTTTGTCTGTGCCTACAAGCCTATATAACCGCTAAAATGTTTAAGTGTCACTCGGCCGCAAAATAAACTTCAACATTTCATGGGCGCATCCATATTGTAGGTCCGCAGCGAATGAAAGAGGGGGGGGGGGAGGGCTAAATTTGTCTTCTAGTAATTTCTCTTAATACTAATAAGCCGTTTTTTTCTTATTTCATATTTATTGCTAATTGCTATGACTATTATTTATGTAAAGTCAACATATTGTGTGAAAATTAAAAGAAAACATCTGGTCGACCACGATTCACATGTGTTGCATGTACTGTTGTGCAAGTGATTGAGCTGTCAACTTTCGTTTCAACCAATATGTCGAGCCGAGCGTTGAGGAAACTGCAAGGGAAGACACACCAGGAGATAGATCCGTTGAGTGTCGTGAGCCATGATTCCGAAGAAGACAGTGACAGCACCAAAAACGATGAAAGCACGAACAGGAAATCGAAGAAAAATAAACACAAGAAAAATGTACCTTTAAATCCCTTTGAATTGGTAAGTTGAAAAAAGTGTTGTATAGGCCTACACGGTAATACAGGGAACAGTACCTAATACGCGATTACTATTATAATCTTGATGTACTATCACAAGCAAATGTGAGTTGACCCGCTACCACTTTAAAATAAGGAACCAGACAAACTTAGATATCCTATCTAGACCTCGCCTCTTTCGTCAGCTTACAGATCTCTTTTCACTACATGTTCGAACACTGGATGTAGTGGTAATACAAGCAATTGATTCAATAACTCAAAATACAAGTAACTGTTTATTAACGAGACGGAATGAATATGTATAACAAGTTTAACAAAAACAGAGCATAGCATTAGTGCCAAACAATATAGATCTACAGCGAACCACCATGTATCCAATGCCTAAGCCCAAAGCCCCTGTACTGTAGTTCCTATAGCACTCTATATTGGTATTGTTAGCAGCACCTCAGCCCATGTTTTGCACTGTTAACAGCGCATGAGGCAGTAGGGCTCTCCTCACCAGGAGAAGTGGGTCGGCTCACCAACCCTGTCAAGACACTGATTCCCGCCTGGACCCGCTGTTTTATACCCGGCCGTCTCAAAAGTGTAAACGCACAGATTTCAGCACCGGTATCATAGCAGCTGATCGCCAGGAATCCTACACTGAACAAAAAGTCCTACCCTAAATAAGGGTGAATAACACAGAAAGTAACAGAGCCCTGTCTGTAAATCATAAACAGCAGTTATAATAAACAAAGTAATACAAATGTGAGAAATAAACAACCTAACTTCCCACATTATTATAAACCCATAGAAGGAGATATTGAGTTTCACACAGGTGTCACCCTCTGAAATCTACAATGAGGGAGAAATTGTGTGAAAGGCGACTGAAACTGCTGTATTACTGCTCAATTCATCGTTCCCTTTTTATGAATAACTCCAAAAGCATCATTTGAATCGGACATTCCTGTTATGATCATTTACATGCACAGTAAATAAGAGATCATTTGACCACCGAATGTTGATTTTGAGTTTGTGTGAGTTTGGACTCGAATGACGGAGTTTCAGGGGAGAATTGTAAATTTTGGTCAAAATGAGGGAGTCTCCATCCCTATGAGGGAGGTTTAATAGCTATGGACTCTGATATGCCTTCAGGGTCCCAGATTTTGTTGATGGGGGGGAGGAATGTAGGCTACTAGAGAAACAGTGCTGGTTGATCACCTCTGACCAGGTAGCGTAATGTTAGTTGGTTTGAGCATCCATCCATAAGTCTTGAACCGGAATTAAACTGATCTAGTCTTAAAAAAAATCAAAAAATCTTATACAAGACCTTTGTTTTGTATTAGGAGTAGAATAATGATGCCACATTAGCATAGTATCCAAAAAGTTCCTCCCCACCAGAATCTAAGGGTTTATCTTTGATAAAAAAAAAATGTAATCTGAAGTGTGTGTAGAAGGAGACATTTTGTGGAAATGTCAGACCAGAAATTGTTTAAGTAGTATTTTGTTGTATTATGTAGCTGGAAGCAGAGGACAATGATCAGGAGGTTTTAAATGAAGAAGAAACTCTGCAAGCAGAACAACCAGAAAACCAAGCAGATACCAGAAAGAAGAAAAAGAAAAAGAAGAAAAAACAAAAAGAAAAAACAAACAAAGTTGTAAGTTGTTAAGCTGATTCCATGAACAAGAAGATTGCTGGCAGACTTGTATTATAATATACTCCTATGCATCGCAATGAACAGTATTGTAAGTCTCTGGTCAACCTACAAAGAAAGAATTAGATGTAAAGTTCTTTTAGGCAGAAATCACAGCGAACAATGATCCACACAAAACTGCTGATTTTCCCAAAGCTAAGACAGTCCTATTCTTTAAACACCTAAAAACACTATATATGTTAAGATAGTTCCTTTATCTCATAGTAATCAACATCTAGCAAGCTTTATCTCACTGATTTACTACAACAGACTTCTGTTGTTTTGTCTTCACATCACTTTGTTCATCAGGTTTAAATAAATCACCTTTATATTCGAGATAGGAAGAATTAATCTTATCTCAAAATATGATGTAAGTTGATTTTTTATCAAATTATTAGTCTGTGACAGGACACCTAAATGTTAAGTCATTGTGTTTATCACAAACTGCGGTTTGATATTTAACATCATACTTACTCACTATTACAGGTTGACGAAGACTTTGAGGCCAGTTTAAAGCTGGCAGAGGGAGCAGATAACGCAGATGTCAATGGAGACATCCCTGCCTCAACCCCCATCACACAAAACATGCGAGCTCTCCTCTTTGTAGAACACAAGTAAGTTATTATATTATCAATTGAAAATTAAATCTATTTTGGTATAATTTTGAAGTGACACTTTTCTATTGGTGTAGCTAGATCTTGTGAATCATACTTGGTCTGTGTTAGTGATAAACATACCTGACATCCACTTTTTCTTGTATTGTAGAAATCTTAACCCAGACAATGAAATGAGGCGGATATTCGGTTCGCGAGTCGTACAAGGTGAAAACAGGTATGGGAGTTAAATTGCAAAGATAAAGCATCCAATATCTTCTTCTTTTTTAAATAATTTAACAATGTTGATATTTTTTTTATTAGGAGTCTTAAATTATAACTATTGTACAGATTTAAACAAATTATAATTATTGGACAGATTTAATAAAAGTTGTAACAAAATCATTGTATCTGACTTGTTTGTTACAAGTGAGCTAACCCAAGAGGTAAAGCTTTCACTCATCTCCAGGTCAGAGGTTTATTTCAGTGTTGGTTATATAAATGTTTAAAAATACCATGATCATGAAGTCATCACCATTCTTATATAACATTTTGATATTATCTTAGTCACAAGTATTGCATTATTAAGTCTCACAATTGTGTATTATTTCATGAAGATAATACTTAATGATGTTAACACATATTTCCAGCCGTCGTCAGCGTCAGCAACGAGGGAGAACGCGACAGAGGGTATCCTGGTTGACCACTCCCCGCGACAACTGGCCACCTATGGGCAAGACTGGTCAGTAGGAGATGTTCTGTGTGAGAAGTATCGGATGTTTTGGAGAAAGGTTATGTGTCACATATGGCACGACCAATAAGTGTTTATGTCTACTCGTAAATACAAATGTACTTAACAGGTGTGATGCATTACGTTTCTACCAATATGAAGAAAATGTTAAAAAAAAAATCACAAATGCGTTTGTGAAATGTTGAAACTTTTTCTGTAAAAATATTACCATTGATTGTGATAAATATATCATGGATAGACTCAGAATTCTTGTCTCTCTGTTATGTTTAGACAATGGTATGCTAATTTGTACTTATTACTTTACTGCTTAGAACTAAATTTTTCCAGCAGTTGATTTCCTGTATAGACCCTATTTACCTATGAATTCATTATTCCACACTTCACGTTGACATTTCTTGTGTCAGGATTGACCATGTCGTTCCTGGAGACCCGAGGAGGCTGTCAGTACTTTACATTTGAACATAGCCAGAGTTACCAGGATGTCGAGTTCCAGTTCTATGATGCTGTAGAATCTCTGAACCCCCAAAACATTGCAGTGAGTACTCCGCATACAAATTAATTTAACAGTCAACTTTTATCTGTATTGCATCACCTGGTTCCCCTGATTGCACTGATCTTTATATTGTGGTTGAATTAGAAATATCCAATTTGGCAACCATGATATGAACCATTAAAGCATAATGATATTTTTTCCCTTACAGAATATTATACAGCTCCACCCTTATCATGTGGCTGCCCTACTACAGCTCAGTGAGGTGTTCCACATGGGAGAAGACGCCCAGGCCTCCGCAGAGCTCATAGGTAATAAATATCATAAATCATAGTCAACAAATATCGTCACAGGTAACAAATATCATAAGTCACAGGTGTAAAATATCAAAAGTCGTAATTAACAAATAGCACTAATAATTTAAAAGGTAACGAAAATCATGAGTCACAGGTAACAAATGTCATAAGTCACAGGTATCAAATATCATAAGTCACAGGTGAGGAATATTAAAAGTCACAGGTAGTAAATATCACAAATTTAAGTAACAAATATCACAAGACACTGGTAACAAATGCCACAAGTCACAGGTAACAAATATCATAAGTCACAGGTAACAAATATCACAAGTCACAGGTAACAAATATCACAAGTCACAGGTAACAAATATCACAAGTCAAAGGTGATGAATATCACAAGTCACATGTAACAAATCACAGGTAACAACTATCACAAGACACTGGTAACAAATATCGTAAGTCACAGGTAACAAATATCACAAATCACAGGTGAGGAATATTACAAGTCACAGGTAGCAAATATCACAAATTTAATTAACAAATATCACAAGACACTGGTAACAAATATCACAAGTCACATGTGACAAATATTACAAGTTACAGGTAACAAATATTACAAGTTACAGGTAACAAATATCACAAGTAACAGGTAACAAATGTCACAAGTCACAGGAAACACATATCATAAATCACAGGTAACAAATATCATAAGTTACAGGTAGCAAATATCACAAGTCACATAATTATGTGAAGAGACAAACTCAGTCATTCTAACAGGATTAGCTCTTGGGTCTGGATCCAAACTTTGGGACATAGTCTTGGGGTTTCACATGGAAGAAAGATTGAGATTCCCACCCTATAGCTATATATATATATTCAATTTCCAGGCTTGAATGGATGAATATACTATGTAGCCAGGATAGGCTCTGGGTACTTAGTCTTTGGTCATCATATGGTTTAAAAGCTTTTCAGATCACCACCCTCTAACCATTATGTGCTTGCTGGGCATGACGAGATGAATATAATCATCTACCTGGATTTTATTGTTGTGAAGTTTTATATAGTACATGTGTTGCTGTTTTAGAGCGAGCACTGCTGTCGTGTGAACTTTCCTTCCATCCTCTATTCAGTCTTACCACAGGGACAACTCGACTTGATTTCAAAAGATCTGAGAACAGGTATCAAGTCCATACAGTGTTATGTTGGCTGTTAATCGATTTCCTGTCAATCTGATGCATGTAGAAATATTTCTAGCTCAAAATTCCACTCACAAGCTGATTGCTAAGTTTACTTGTCTTTGAGAGTTTGATGCAAGTAATGATTTTGTTAAAAATGCATTTATTTCTAAGTGTTGTATCCCTTGCTTGTTTAAACAAAAAGTGTCTTCTGTAAAAGTTAACAGATGTGAACTGCAATGTTCATTTTAAGATATCATTTTGGTGAATTGCGTGGCATATTTAGAGTTCCCTCTTTTTATTTACAGGCCCTTTTTCCTGACATTGTTCAAACATCTAGCCATTGTTGGTCAGAAGGGATGCTACAAGACAGCTTTGGAGTTCTGTAAACTCCTTCTCAGGTGAGCTACAATATAAGACCTGGCTTAGAGTAACTAATTGTACCCCTATTTGTATCTGTGCTTGTATAGCTATCAGTAATGCCTGGTAACAAGGTTATCTATTTTCCAAGCTCAATGATAGACATGTTACACATTTTGCAGTTTTATGTACTTACATAGGAGCCTCCTTATCAATAGGAAAAAGTGTTATGTATTGATTAAATTAAATACATTTAAAGTATGATGATAATGACAAATTGTTTTATACAGTAATAGTATATAATTGTGGCACTTTGGTTAAATGGATCAATGAAGTATGATATTAAACGGAATGCCACATGGCCTAGTGTCAGCCAATCAACAGAAGATACAGAAAATTATGATAAAAATAAACCATATCAATGACAATTAAAAAATTAATATTATAATTCAAATCATTGTTAATAACATAATAACTTATTATAACATTGATTGTATATGATGACACTTAACTGTCTATATGTACCACCAACAGCCTGGAGCCTGAGATGGACCCCATGTGTGTTCTGTTGATGATTGACTTCTACGCCCTTAGGGCCCAGGAGTACTCCTTTATAGTACGGCTATACCAGGAGTGGGAGGTAGGTCCATAACAAGCCCTTAGGGCCCAGGAGTGGGAGGTAGGTCTAACACAAGCCCATAGGGCCCAGGAGTACTCTTTCATAGTACCACTGTACAAGGAGTGGGAGGTAGGTCTAACACAAGCCCTTAGGGCCCAGGAGTGGGAGGTAGGTCTCACACAAGCCCTTAGGGCCCAAGAGTGGGAGGTAGGTCTCACACAAGCCCTTAGGGCCCAGGAGAGGGAGGTAGGTCTTACACAAGCTCTTAGAGCCCAAGAGTGGGAGGTATGTCTTACGCAAGCCCTTAGTTCCCGAGAGTGGGAGGTAGGTCCCACACAAGCCCTTAGTGCCCAGGAGTGGGAGGTATGTCTTACACAAGCCCTTAGGGTCCAGGGGTGGGGAACAGGGACCTGTCTCTCAGTACCCTTTCCTAGTATATACACTAAGAATAAGAGGTCTCACAGGGACCAGTCTTCATTCCGTACAATTTTCTAAGTATATCTATACCTAGAGTGCATAAGGAGTAGCATACCATACAGCAAGGTTCAAAATATTGAGTAATAATGGCTAGAATTCCCTAGTATTACATGTACAAGTGAAAAAGAAATTATAAGAATTCTGTTGCTACCATTGCCATTGATACAAAACGTTATGTCAAATCTGTCCATGCTAACTACAATATAGATATGTCAATATGTATGAATTTACTGTAAAACCATTTAAAACATAATTTGAAGGACAAAACAGTCATTTGAACAAAGTATTTCTGACTGAGGAAACAACTTTTATTGCATATTGTAACACAATAAAGAAAGTAAAGAAATGAAAAGTATCCTTTCTTAGTGTGAGAACCTTCAACATTCAGAATTAAAAACCAGCTGAAGATTTTCAAATAAGCAACAAGAAATAACACAAAAAGATTTTTAATTAATACATTCCACATGTTCTGTCCACACAGGCCCACAGAAATCTTACTCAGCTTCCAAACTTTGCATTTTCCGTTCCCTTGGCAATGTATCTCCTGGCCATTAACCAAGAGGAGGACTCCAGTAAGGCTGATACTATGGTGAGTCATCAATAATACGTCTTGTAATAATGAGTAATTTCCATGTTAGAACTATATTACATATATAATCCATGCTAAATATTCTGCTGGCAACTGACATCACATTAACTTGATTGGTATAGCGGTGAACTAGGAAGCTGGGAGTCACTGGTTTGGTCCTCGGTGGAAGCACACTACAATGTACTCTTTCCTATTACACAATTAAGAAGAATGATGATGTTTCTTAATTTTTGCCACATAATTGTTTCTATTTTTTAACCATCCCTATTGAATTTTGTTTTGTAACTTAAACTTTATGATGTATATTTAAATGACGTCATACTTATTGTGCTGTTTGCCTGTTTTACAGCTTCAGGAATCCCTGTTGATGTTCCCAGGAATGCTTCAACCCCTCCTGGACAAGTGCAATATAAACCCTGACCCCCAAGTCTCTAGTCATGCTTTCTTTGGCCCAGACTCACAGTACAGTCAGCCTCCTGCTCTGAAGCAGCTGATTGGTCTGTATATAGGTCGCTGTTACTCTTGCTGGAAGCAGCCAGAGGTGTTAGAATGGCTAGAGCGTAATGTGAAGGTCGTTCTACAGCGTGTAGATAACAAAGACAGTATGGTGGAACAGTGTCGAATCAAGTGAGTCCCCAACTCCTAACCCTACTTAGAGGACATTGTAGGTCACTAATTGTCAAATTATATTATTATAACAAGAAATGTACAACATTTTGGTGCCGTTTTATTTATTTAGAAACATTATTGATGAGACAAAATCCTACCTTTGTACAAAGTATGTGGATTAATAAGTACTCTCTAAGCACACTCTAGAACAATGTACAGATGTACTTGCATATGGTTATCTTTTGACTCCATAATTTGTTATCCTTCCCCCCACCCCCACCCACCCACAAGGGGCAGTACTAGCATTCATGTCATGCATCTGACCACGATAATTGTATTTTGGCCACAGTTCCATTTTTGGGCCATAGTGCCTATGTATTTTCAGGCAGGTTGTGTGTTACACACTAAAAACTAGGTTACAGTAACTAACATTTTCTACCCCACTGAGAACCAAAAGATATTTGTGTCCAGGCCTTAGTAATTCTTATGCTGATACTTTTGTTACCCACCATAAAAAGGCCACGAAGACCCATTTAACAATAGAATTAATTTAGATACAGCTATAACTGCCTTGCATTTATAATCTTATAAAGTTTACATATCCCTGTGATGACAATGGAACATCAATTGATTGCTATATGTAAATTGTGGAGAGTATAAAGGTTGCAATATGGTAATACTCCCAAAGTAACAGTGGAGAATGCTTCTTTACTAGTCCTTTTAAAGATAGTGGATTGTATTTCAATTTATTTTTTTAACAGGCGACTTTCGCGGTACCAAGGCACACCCCGCAACATCCTGAGACATATTCTCATATCAGAGATCAAGGACGCGACAGCAGCCCTCCCTCCAGTAAGTCTCCATCTGACATGAAAATGACTATGTTTAGTCAATAGTGGTATGAATTTCTAGGTTATAAAAACAGTTAAGATTGATGCGAAAGACAAAAAAGTATTGTTATCAAGGATTCTTGACACACCGCGGTGACTGATTTTCCTCGGAACAGTGAAAATTTTGTTTTGCATGTTTTACTGTTTTATATTCAAATCTGCTGTGACATAGCCAATACTACCGTGCTGAGCTACTATATATTCAATTTTACTGTTATAATCGTATAAATTTGGTTGTTGTATAGGACATAGCCAATACTACTGTGTTAAGTTACGACCCCCTACCTCCATTGGATTCTGTGTGTGGCTACAACAGGCCTGAAAGGTAAGTTTTTCAAAGGGTGGCAATCATTTCTTATAATTAGGTACAAATTCTTTTTGTTAACTCAATGCATCTGGTCATTACCAGGGTCAATTTTGTTTATCGCGGTCCAAACGGTTGGGGCAGTTGGACAAGCGTTGTTTGTTTATGTAATAAGGTTGGACCTAGTAATATGATGCTGCTTTCAGGCGAGCCTTGACAAAGCCTTGCAAGGCCTGCATAAACGTTTGCTGGGATTTATACCCGAAAATGTTTCATTTAAAAACAGACAAACTGGTTGTTTGGTATAAATGAACAGGCCCAAGGTACCACCGTTAGCAAAGGTGTAAATCTTTGTGAAATCATAGTTGGTGAAATGTAAACATTGTAACACAATGGAGAATACAATTGGGTTATTTGACAGGGACTAGGGTTGACCATTTGCAAATTAAAACTTCAAACTTCAAGCAGTAAGTGGTACAGCTTTATCAGCAGAAACTGGGGGGGGGGGGGGGGGGGGGGGGGGGGGGGCGGCTTGTTATTCAAGACTTTTAACAAGTCATAATTTAAACTTCAATTACTTTGAAGGCTGCCTTCATCAACAAGTAGATAAAAAAACCAAAATATGATGAAATTTTGAAAAATATCAAATTGTCATAAAACTTGGTATCCAAAAGTATTGGATAAAACCTGAAAATAATATTGAATAATGAAAATAAATTACTGCCACTCACAAATGATATAAATTGAATATTATCCAGATATTTGACTGTTTCACATGACTGTTCTACAGGCCCAGGGCAGTAGAAGATGCAGGTGCCTTGTCTACTTTTTTCCGATCTTTGTTGCCAAACTTTAATGTTGACGTAAGTATTGCTTACTTAAGATTTGTCGTGATTATTGGATAAAGGAAAGACAACTCTGTATTGTGTCCCACTTTTGAGAAACGAGCATAGCCTATGTAGGGTAGTCCCACTTATCAAACCCTGGCATTACTTCACATTAAAATGGTCATTTTTATTACACAAGGGCAAGATTAGACAAGTGAGAATTTCTTGACTTTTGGTGATCAGTCTACTGATTCATCTCAATTAATGTATGCTGTATGCATGTAAAAGGGCATATTTATACCAGCATTAACCTTTCTGAGTGATATGTATGCATGTAATCAAGTAAGGTAACACAAACAAAAATTGTATGTCTAAGCTCCAGGATTGTCACATGATGATCATTTCCACTGGAGATTTCAAAACCAAATTCTAGGCAATCTAACAAATTAAGGATGGTGTGAAGTGTCATATTTGTTTACACATTAAAATTATTATGGTAGAACACAGCAATCTCCACATGTTAGTAAGTCAATGTACCGTATTTGCTATAATTACGGCCCAGGGCACTGAAAAATGGCTTAAAGATGGGTGAAAGCTTATTAGAATGATGAAATGTAGAATGGGAGTAATGAGAGAAGAGGGGTTATGAAACAATCAACTGTTGTTACCACCCAAGGACAATGTAAATATTCCAGTGTGGCTGGAGGTTTGGATCAAATGTTTCATCCACTTCACAGGAAATCCAGCCATGATCATCAGTTGTAAATCTCTGCTTTAACTGCTTAAAAGTGCATTTATTATGAATCATTGACCAGGTCTGGGAGGAGTTGTGTGTGTGTGTGTGTGTGTGTTGACATAAGGGGATAACACAAATTATGGCTATGATCTAAGGGTAAACATATGTATTTATTATTCTGTGTTACACATTGTGTAAAGATTTTGATTAGCTGTGGTATTTTGTTTTTCCTGACAGGAGCCGGCTGCAGCAGCTGGTGCAGCAGGAGGACAGCATGGCAATGACCTGCGTCAGGGCATCGGAGTACTTATGGATGCCATGAGAGACCTGCTCAACAACATCAGGCCAGTGGACGTCCCTAGGGACAACCAAGGGGACAACCCCGAAAATGATGGGAATGATGATATAGAGCCAGGAGAGTGGGATTGATATCAGGGAACTTTATATGGGGAGGGGGTTAGGGTTTATATAGTGGGGTTCAAATCTGTAATGCCTATTTGTGTTGGTTTTTATTTCTTAAACCAGTTTCTTCTACTGAATTGACCAATGTTTTTAGTCAGGTGATAAACATTTTATCCGATATTCATCTTTAAAAAAAAGACGAGAAAACTGACACCCAGGCTTTGAACTGCTTTTTGACACAATGAAATGACTAATTAAGGTTGACAGGACTAGACTCCCTTATATTGACACATTGACATGACTAGATTCCCTTATGTTGACTCATGGACATGACTAGACTTCCTTATGTTGACACATGGACATGATTAGACTCCCTTATGTTGACACATGGACATGACTAGACTGCCTTATATTGACACATGGACATGACTAGACTTCCTTATATTGACACATTGACATGACTAGATTCCCTTATGTTGACACATGGACATGATTAGACTCCCTTATGTTGACACATGGACATGACTAGACTGCCTTATATTGACACATGGACATGACTAGACTGCCTTATATTGACACATGGACATGACTAGATTCCCTTATGTTGACACATGGACATGACTAGACTGCCTTATATTGACACATGAACATGACTAGATTCCCTTATATTGACACATGAACATGACTAGATTCCCTTATATTGACACATGGACATGACAAGACTCCCTTATGTTGACACATGGACATGACTAGACTGCCTTATATTGACACATGAACATGACTAGATTCCCTTATGTTGACACATGAACATGACTAGACTGTCTTATATTGACACATGAACATGACTAGATTCCCTTATGTTGACACATGGACATGACTAGACTGTCTTATATTGACACATGAACATGACTAGACTCCCTTATGTTGACACATGGACATGACAAGACTCCCTTATGTTGACACATGGACATGACTAGACTGCCTTATATTGACACATGAACATGACTAGATTCCCTTATGTTGACACATGGACATGACTTATCACTAATGTTAATACATGGACATGACTAGACTGCCTTATGTTGACACATTGACATGACTAGACTGCCTTATGTTGACACATTGACATGACTAGACTGCCTTATGTTGACACATTGACATGACTAGACTGCCTTATGTGGACACTTGGACAAAACTAATCACTTATGTTGATACATGTGTAGGAATAATCCCTTATGTGGACACTGGGCAATGGTAGACAAGCCATAGGGTGCTATAAATGATCAGGAAAGTATAGTATGCATTTTATACAGGATTTTAACTTCATATTGTAAGAAATGTATAAACATTTTCAGGTCATCAACACATTAGTAATACATGTATTAAAATGAATATATATAAGAAGGATATGATACAACAGAATTGATGTAGATCAGAGGTGGCCGTATAGAAATTGCTGCTAAGGCAGTCACCTTGTAAGTTATTGTTCCTTGCATTTAATGTATGTCGGAGCTTTTATATATAACTGTGATAAGGGTAAGCAAATAAAAGTGGTGAGGAAATAGTTATGCTGTTGTGTTTATCCTTGGTTAGGTATCTTCAAAATCCAAGATTTCTGCTCTTGGTACACATATTTTCTGTTCTGTGCATCCATGTATTGATAAATTGTATATCATGACAAAATCGTAGGCTTGTGGAAAGCTATTTGATTTAGGGCAAGAAAAAAGCTGACCAATCACTCGGCTAATACCTTGCCTTTAAAGATAACACAGGAGCGACGCTGACTTCAAAGCCTTTAAAGATAACACAGGAGCAACACTGACTTCAAAGCCTTTAAAGATAACACAGGAGCAACACTGACTTCAAAGCCTTTAAAGATAACACAGGAGCGACACTGACTTCAAAGCTAGTTCATTTCACTGTTAAGATGTCCGTCATTTTTATGCAGACCAAAGGATCAAACTAACTTGTGTTGTGGTGAACATTTTTATTGATATTCTTAATATAGTAATATTCATTAATACATTTTGTCTTCCAATGGTTTTTGTATGATATTACTTAACATTATATTGATTTATATTGATATGACACTGACTTGAACAAGGGAAACAGTTGATTTCTTCAACAGATTTTGTCACTGTCAAACATTGGGTCACTGATAAGTATTGTTGCATTGTGCCACCAGATGTGGTGCTTTCTTTGTGCCCTTGGTGTTGATCTTTGGTAGGTTAAGTTTGGGCAGTCTGTGCCTGGTGACTTTCTCCGGGACCAGCTTTGTGTAGGGAGGCGCTACCACTGCCAGGGGAATGTCAAAGTAGAAACACCTATTCACTACCTCTCCAGTTTCGTAGCTTTTGATATCTGGTACATTATTTGGCCTCTGGTTTTCTTGTGTCTGTTTTTCTCCACTTGGTGGATTTGGAATATTTTCTGCTTTGGAAACTTCGCCTTTCTTTATGTCTGGTATCTTACTATCATTGGTAGCCTTGGTTGCTTTCGTGGTAAAATATCTCCCCGGAGATACCTTTGGGTCCACCTTGATGGCCAATAGGCGCAGTGTGGTAACTGAGGGGACCTTCCTGGCCTTATTCCTGACCCGCCTGATAGGTATAGGGTCAATGGTGATTCTCCTCACGTTTGCAGGACTCTTGTGGTAAGCTTTGGTTTCCATCAAGATGATTTCTGCTTGGAGCAGGGCCATTTGGTTTCTAAGGAGTGACTCCTTCTCACAGATCCGACCATACTGCTCCTTCAGAAACATATACTGTACCTTCATCTCATTCTCAGCTGTCATGGTCCGACATTTAGGACGATTTCTCAAGCAAAAGTCTGAAATACTTGTCTTATGATCTGATCGACTCCCGAGAAAACTTTTGTTTGCATAACTGATGCCGGGCCTTCCACCAACATTACTGTTCACATTTTCTATCCAATTGCCATTTCCACTGTTGTCAGCTTTCGTATTAGCCCTACAATTCGTGCCAGTATCTGACCATTCATCTACAGAGTCTGTTCCCCTGCTACAACGAATGTCTATCTGAATCCCAGTACAGATGTTGGAGCTAGCATTAGGCCGTATTTCAGATATCTCATCAGTACTGTCTGGTCGACCTCTCGACTCCAACTTCCTCCCTGGCCCTGGTTGAGCCCCACCTCCGCAATAAGCTGTTCGTTTAAACAGTATCCTCTGGTTGTCTGGAAGGGCATCAGGCAGTTTAAATGGTCTGTCATTGCCTTGTTGGGGTTGGGTGTCCTGGCGGCAGGAACAAATGTCACTTTTTTTCATAACAAAATAAATGTGTTCATGAAGTGTCTTTACATCTGAAATTGGAGCAAAATCTTAAGTTAGTTTAACTTCTTGACAATTATAAAACTATGATAAACATAATTCAAATACATAGGGACTTTGAAAAAAAGTACCAGGTAATTTGGACAAAATAAAAAATGCACATAAAGACAATGACAAACAAAACAACAGCAAAACACAAGTGCCCAGGGATGATTAACAACGACAGTGTTTGATCAGACAATGACATGTTTATACTAGGACAACTAAACAACAGCAAAACACAAGTGCCCAGGGATGATTAACAATGACAGTGTTTGATCAGACAATGACATGTTTATACTAGGACAAATAAACAACAGCATGGTATAATCAGACAAAGACCAGTTAAACATTACACAGACAACTAAACAACAACAGTGTATAATCAGACAAAGACCAGTTAAACATTACACAGACAACTAAACAACAACAAAGTATAATCAGACAACGACCAGTTAAATATTACACGGACAACTAAACAACAACAGTGTATAATCAGACAAATACCAGTTAAACATTACACAGACAACTAAACAACAACAGTGTATAATCAAACAACGACCAGTTAAACAATACATGGCCAATTAAACAACAACATTGTATAATCAGACAACGACAAGTTAAACATTACACGGACAACTAAACAACAACAAAGTATAATCAGCCAACGACCAGTTAAATATTACACGGACAACTAAACAACAACCGTGTATAATCAGACAACGACCAGTTAAACAATACATGGCCAACTAAACAACACCAAAGTTTAATCAGCCAACGACCAATTAAACAATACACGGACAACTAAACAACAACAGTGTATAATCAAACAACGACCAGTTAAACAATACATGGCCAACTAAACAACACCAAAGTTTAATCAGCCAACGACCAATTAAACAATACACGGACAACTAAACAACAGCATTGTATAATCAGACAACGACAAGTTGAACAATACATGGCCAATTAAACAACAACAGTGTATAATCAGACAACGTCCAGTTAAACATTACACGGACAACTAAACAACAACAAAGTATAATCAGACCACGACCAGTTAAATATTACACGGACAACTAAACAACAACCGTGTATAATCAGACAACGACCAGTTAAACACTACACGACCAACTAAACAACAGCATTGTATAATCAGACAACGACAAGTTGAACAATACATGGCCAATTAAACAACAACAATGTATAATCAGACAAAGACCAGTTAAACAATACATGGCCAACTAAACAACAACAGTGTATAATCAGACGACGACCAGTTAAACAATACACGGCCAATTAAACAACAACAGTGTATAATCAGACAACGTCCAGTTAAACATTACACGGACAACTAAACAACAACAGTGTATAATCAGACAAGGACCAGTTAAACATTACACAGACAACTAAACAACAACAGTGTATAATCAAACAACGACCAGTTAAACAATACATGGCCAATTAAACAACAACAATATATAATCAGACAACGACCAGTTAAACACTACACGACCAACTAAACAACAGCATTGTATAATCAGACAACGACAAGTTAAACAATACACAGACAACTAAACAACAACAATGTATAATCAGACAACGACAAGTTAAACACTACACGGCCAACTAAACAACAGCATTGTATAATCAGACAACGACAAGTTAAACAATACACAGACAACTAAACAACAACAATGTATAATCAGACGACGACAAGTTAAACAATACACAGACAACTAAACAACAACAATGTATAATCAGACGACGACCAGTTAAACAATACATGGACAATTAAACGACAACAATGTATAATCAGACGACGACCAGTTAAACAATACATGGACAATTAAACAACGACAATGTATAATCAGACGACGACCAGTTAAACAATACATGGACAATTAAACAACAACAATGTATAATCAGACGACGACCAGTTAAACAATACATGGACAATTAAACAACAACAATGTATAATCAGACGACGACAAGTTAAACAATACACAGACAACTAAACAACAACAATGTATAATCAGACAACGACCAGTTAAACGATACACAGACAACTAAACAACAACAATGTATAATCAGACGACGACCAGTTAAACAATACATGGACAATTAAACGACAACAATGTATAATCAGACGACGACCAGTTAAACAATACACTGCCAATTAAACAACAACAGTGTATAATCAGACAAAGACCAGTTAAACAATACACGGACAACTAAACAACACCAATGTATAATCAGACAAAGACCAGTTAAACAATACATGGACAATTAAACGACAACAATGTATAATCAGACGACGACCAGTTAAACAATACACTGCCAATTAAACAACAACAGTGTATAATCAGATAACGACCAGTTAAACACTACACGGACAACTAAACAACAACAATGTATAATCAGACGACGACCAGTTAAACAATACACGGACAAATAAACAACAACAGTGTATAATCAGACAACGACAAGTTAGACACTACACGGCCAACTAAACAACAGCATTGTATAATCAGACAACGACAAGTTAAACAAGACATGGCCAATTAAAAAACAACAATGTATAATAAGACAACGACAAGTTAAACAATACATGGCCAATTAAGCAACAACAATGTATAATCAGACAACGACAAGTTAAACCATACATGGCCAATTAAACAACAACAATGTATAATCAGACAACGATCAGTTAAACAATACATGGACAATTAAACAACGACAATGTATAATCAGACGACGACCAGTTAAACAATACATGGACAATTAAACGACAACAATGTATAATCAGACGACGACCAGTTAAACAATACATGGACAATTAAACGACAACAATGTATAATCAGACGACGACCAGTTAAACAATACACGGACAACTCACCAACAACAATGTATAATCAGACAACGACCAGTTAAACGATACACAGACAACTAAACAACAACAATGTATAATCTACACGGACAACTAAACAACAACAATGTATAATCAGACAACGATCAGTTAAACAATACATGGACAATTAAACAACGACAATGTATAATCAGACGACGACCAGTTAAACAATACACTGCCAATTAAACAACAACAGTGTATAATCAGACAAAGACCAGTTAAACAATACATGGCCAACTAAACAACAACAAAGTTTAATCAGACAACGACCAATTAAACAATACACGGACAACGAAACAACAACAATGTATAATCAGACAACGACAAGTTAAACCATACATGGCCAATTAAACAACAACAATGTATAATCAGACAATGACAAGTTAAACAATACATGGCCAATTAAACAACAACTGTGTATAATCAGACAACGACCAGTTAAATATTACACAGACAACTAAACAATGACAGTGTATAATCGGACAATGACCAGTAAAACAATACACGGACAACTAAACAACACCATTGTATAATCAGACAACGACCAGTTAAACGATACACAGAAAACTAAACAACAACAATGTATAATCAGACAACGATCAGTTAAACAATACATGGACAATTAAACAACAACAGTGTATAATCAGACAACGCCCAGTTAAATATTACACAGACAACTAAACAATGACAGTGTATAATCAGACAATGACCTACATGGACAATTAAACAACAACAATGTATAATCAGACCACGACCAGTTAAACAATACACGGCCAATTAAACAACAACAATGTATAATCAGGCAACGACAAGTTAAACAATACATGGCCAATTGAACAACAACAATGTATAATCAGACAACGACAAGTTAAACATTACATGGCCAATTAAACAACAACAATGAATAATCAGACAACGACAAGTTAAACAATACACGGCCAACTAAACAACAGCATGGTATAATCAGACAACGACAAGTTAAACACTACATGGCCAATTAAACAACAACAATGTATAATCAGACAACGATCAGTTAAACAATACATGGACAATTAAACAACAACAGTGTATAATCAGACAACGACAAAGTTAAACAATACACGGCCAATTAAACAACAACAATGTATAATCAGGCAACGACAAGTTAAACAATACATGGCCAATTGAACAACAACAATGTATAATCAGACAACGACAAGTTAAGCAATACATGGCCAATTAAACAACAACAATGTATAATCAGGCAACGACAAGTTAAACAATACATGGCCAATTGAACAACAACAATGTATAATCAGACAACGACAAGTTAAGCAATACATGGCCAATTAAACAACAACAATGTATAATCAGGCAACGACAAGTTAAACAATACATGGCCAATTAAGCAACAACAATGTATAATCAGACAACGACAAGTTAAGCAATACATGGCCAATTAAACAACAACAATGTATAATCAGACAACGATCAGTTAAACAATACATGGACAATTAAACAACAACAATGTATAATCAGACGCCGACCAGTTAAACAATACACGGACACCTAACCAACAACAATGTATAATCAGACAACGACCAGTTAAACACTACACGACCAACTAAACAACAGCATTGTATAATCAGACAACGACAAGTTAAACAAGACATGGCCAATTAAAAAACAACAATGTATAATAAGACAACGACAAGTTAAACAATACATGGCCAATTAAAAAACAACAGTGTATAATCAGATAACGACCAGTTAAACAATACACAGACAACTAAACAACAGCAATGTATAATCAGACAACGACAAGTTAAACACTACACGGCCAACTAAACAACAGCATTGTATAATCAGACAACGACAAGTTAAACAATACACAGACAACTAAACAACAGCAATGTATAATCAGACAACGACAAGTTAAACATTACACGGACAAATACATGGCCAATTAAACAACAACAGTGTATAATCAGACAAAGACCAGTTAAACAATACATGGCCAACTAAACAACAACAAAGTTTAATCAGACAACGACCAATTAAACAATACACGGACAACGAAACAACAACAATGTATAATCAGACAACGACCAATTAAACAATACATGGAGAATTAAACAACAACAATGTATAATCAGACGACGACCAGTTAAACAATACATGGACAATTAAACAACGACAATGTATAATCAGACGACGACCAGTTAAACAATACACTGCCAATTAAACAACAACAGTGTATAATCAGATAACGACCAGTTAAACAATACACAGACAACTAAACAACAACAGTGTATAATCAGACAACGACCAGTTAAATATTACACAGACAACTAAACAATGACAGTGTATAATCAGACAATGACCAGTAAAACAATACACGGACAACTAAACAACAGCATTGTATAATCAGACAACGACCAGTTAAACGAAACACAGACAACTAAACAACAACAATGTATAATCAGACAAAGACCAGTTAAACAATACACGGACAACTAAACAACAGCATGGTATAATCAGACAACGACAAGTTAAACACTACACAGACAACTAAACAACAACAATGTATAATCAGACAAAGACCAGGTAAACAATACACGGACAACCAAACAACAGCATGGTATAATCAGACAACGACCAGTTAAACGATACACGGACAACTAAACAACAACAGTGTATAATCAGACAACGACAAGTTAAACATTACACGGACAACTAAACAACAACAATGTATAATCAGACAAAGACCAGTTAAACAATACACGGCCAACTAAACAATGACAGTGTATAATCAGACAATGACCAGTAAAACAATACACGGCCAACTAAACAACAGCATGGTATAATCAGACAACGACCAGTTAAACAATACACGGACAACTAAACAACAACAGTGTATAATCAGATAACGACCAGTTAAACAATACACAGACAACTAAACAACAACAATGTATAATCAGACAACGACAAGTTAAACACTACATGGCCAATTAAACAACAACAATGTATAATCAGACAACGACCAGTTAAACAATACACAGACAACTAAACAACAACAATGTATAATCAGACAACGACCAGTTAAACACTACACGGCCAACGAAACAACAGCATTGTATAATCAGACAACGACCAGTTAAACAATACACGGCCAACTAAACAATGACAGTGTATAATCAGACAATGACCAGTAAAACAATACACGGACAACTAAACAACAGCATTTTATAATCAGACAACGACCAGTTAAACGATACACGGACAACTAAACAACAACAGTGTATAATCAGATAACGACCAGTTAAACACTACACGGACAACTAAACAACAACAATGTATAATCAGACAACGACCAGTTAAATATTACACGGACAACTGAACAACAACAATGTATTACCAGACAACTTGACAATAGCAATACACGGACAACTGAACAACAACAAAGATAACTGATACAGAGACAACGACCAACTCAACTGATACAGAGACAACGGCCAACTAAACTGATACAGAGACAACGGCCAACTAAACTGATACAGAGACAACGGTCAACTAAACTGATAAAGAGACAACGGCCAACTAAACTGATACAGAGACAACGGCCAACTAAACTGATACAGAGACAACGGCCAACTAAACTGATACAGAGACAACGGCCAACTTAACTGATACAGATACAACGGTCAACTAAACTGATACAGAGACAACGGCCAACTAAATTGATACGGAGACAACGGCCAACTAAACTGATACAGAGACAACGACCAACTAAACTGATACAGAGACAATGGCCAACTATGCTGATACAGAGACAACGGCCAACTAAACTGATACAGAGACAACGGCCAACTAAACTGATACAGAGACAACGGCCAACTAAACTGATATAGAGACAAAGGCCAACTAAACTGAAACAGAGACAAAGGCCAACTTTACAAGAATACACGGACAGCGACCAACTTCCTATCATTTCACAATAAAATAACGACTGAGTAACAAAACACACTCAGAAACGGCCGTGTAAACAGCAATACACAATCAGGAAAAGGCCGTGTAAACAGCAATACACACTCAGAAACGGCCGGGTAAACAGCAATACACAATCAGAAAAACTGCCGTGTAAACAGCAATACACAACCAGGAAACGGCCGTGTTAACAGCAATACACAATCAGAAACGGTCGTGTAAACAGCAATACACAATCAGGAAACGCCCGTCACAATCAGGAAACGGCCGTGTAAACAGCAATACACAATCAGAAACGGCCGTGTAAACAGCAATACACAATCAGAAAAACTGCCGTGTAAACAGCAATACACAATCAGGAAACGGCCGTGTTAACAGCAATACACAATCAGGAAAAGGCCATGTAAACAGCAATACACAATCAGGAAACGGCCGTGTAAACAGCAATACACAATCAGGAAACGCCCGTCACAATCAGGAAACGGCCGTGTAAACAGCAATACACAATCAGGAAACGGCCGTGTAAACAGCAATACACAATCAGGAAACGGCCATGTTAACAGCAATACACAATCAGGAAACGGCCATGTAAACAGCAATACACAATCAGGAAACGGCCGTTAAACAGCATTACACAATCAGGAAACGGCCGTGTAAACAGCAATACACAATCACAAACGGCCGTGTAAACAGCAATACACACTCAGAAACGGCCGTGTAACCAGCAATACACAATCAGATACGGCCGGGTGCACAGCAATACACAATCAGGAAACGACCGTGTAAACAGTAATACACACTCAGGAAATGGCCGTGTTAACAGCAATACACAATCAGACCCGGCCGTGTAAACAGCAATACACAATCACAAACGGCCGTGTAAACAGCAATACACAATCAGAAACGGCCGTGTTAACAGCAATACACAATCAGAAAACGGCCGTGTAAGCAGCAATACACACTCAGAAACGGCCGTGTAAACAGCAATACACAATCAGATACGGCCGTGTGCACAGCAATACACAATCAGGAAACGACCGTGTAAACAGTAATACACACTCAGGAAATGGCCGTGTTAACAGCAATACACAATCAGGAAACGGCCGTGTAAAAAGTAATACACAATCAGGAAACGGCCGTGTAAACAGTAATACACAATCAGGAAACGGCCGTGTAAACAGCAATACACAATCAGAAACGGCCATGTAAACAGCAATACACAATCAGAAAAACTGCCGTGTGCACATCAATACACAATCAGAAAACGGCCGTGTAAACATCAATACACAATCAGAAAAACTGTCGTGTAAACAGCAATACACAATCAGAAAACGGCCGTGTAAACATCAATACACAATCAGAAAAACTGTCGTGTAAACAGCAATACACAATCAGAAAACGGCCGTGTAAACATCAATACACAATCAGAAAAACTGTCGTGTAAACAGCAATACACAATCAGAAAACGGCCGTGTAAACATCAATACACAATCAGAAAAACTGTCGTGTAAACAGCAATACACAATCAGGAAACGGCCGTGTTAACAGCAATACACAATCAGAAACGGCCATGTAAACAGCAATACACAATCAGAAAAACTGTCGTGTAAACCGCAATACACAATCAGAAAACGGCCATGTTAACAGCAATACACAATCAGGAAACGGCCGTGTAAACAGTAATACACAATCAGGAAACGCCCGTGTAAACAGCAATACACAATCAGAAACGGCCGTGTAAACAGTAATACACAATCAGGAAACGCCCGTGTAAACAGCAATACACAATCAGAAACGCCCGTGTAAACAGCAATACACACTCAGGAAACGATCGGCTAAAGAGCTCTATACATGTACACATTACGAATAACTATAGTACACAAAAAAAAAAACTTTCCCAAACAACGACTAACAGGACGATACAAATACAGAACGACAAACTAAATAGCAACGACGATGCTACAACAATACACAGATAACGACCAACTACAATACCAATACGGACAACGACCAACTACAATACCAATACAGACAACGACCAACTACAATACCAATACAGACAACGACCAACTACAATATCAATACGGACAACGACCAACTACAATACAAATACAGACAACGACCAACTACAATACACGGACAACGACCAACTACAATACCAATACAGACAACGACCAACTACAATACCAATACAGACAACGACCAACTACATTACACGGATAACGACCAACTACAATACCAATACGGACAACGACCAACTACAATACCAAAACAGACAACGACCAACTACAATACCAAAACAGACAACGACCAACTACAACACCAATACAGACAACGGCCAACTACAACACCAATACAGACAACGGCCAACTACAATACCAATACAGACAACGGCCAACTACAACACCAATACAGACAACGACCAACTACAACACCAATACAGACAAAGGACAACTACAACACAAATACAGACAACGACCAACTACAATACAAATACAGACAACGACCAACTACAATACCAATACAGAACGACAAACTAAACAGCAACGACAATGCTACAACAATACACAGATAACGACCAACTACAATACCAATACAGCAATACGATCGACCTAGTCCAGTACCACCATTGCTTCCTCCCTCCCTTTTAAAGTCTTCGCCCCAAAAAACATCACTATTTATAACTCGAGTGCCGGTATCCCCTTGTAAAGCACTGACCTTGTACTTCAAACAAGGGTTGGCCACAGGCACCAAATGTAACAGGGAAAAGAGAAATGCAACGACAAGACCGGGATTCGCGGAACCGGGACCCTCCGAACTCTAGACGGACGCTCTACCAATTGAGCTACCTGGTCGCCGACGTTCGACCCAGTCCAGTCGATAGCTCAATTTGAAGAGCGTCCGTCTAGAGTTCGGAGGGTTCCTGGTTCGAACATTGGTCAGGCCGTGCATTTTACATTCCTATTACACACGTTTTAAACAATGACCGACTAAATGAAAACAATCAACAGAGACGACAAAATACTCACCAACTGTCTGCCCCGGTAAAATGAGCTTTTGTTTCCAAGGACTGCGTCACAATGCTGAATTATCATGACGTCATACTTTTTTTTCTTAAACATGAGGGCACGCTTTATACAACGGATGTGAAGCTGACTCGAAAACTGCGTATGATAGAGCGGATGTGACTCAGTAAAGACTGCGAATCATAGAGCGGATGCGACTCAATAAAGACTGCGTATCATAGAGCGAATGTGACTCAGTAAAGACTGCTAATCATAAAGCGGATGTGACTCAGTAAAGACTGCGAATCTTAGAGCAGATATGACTAACTGAAGTCTGTGTATGATAGAGCGGATGTGACTTGCTGAGGACTACGTATGATAAATCGGATTTGACTAACTAGTGGCTGCGTATGGTAAAGCGGATGTGACTAACTAGATGATACGTACGATATAGAGCGGATGTGACTAACCTGAAGGTTGTAAACGATTATGCGGATGTGACTTACTGAAGACTGTGTATAATTGAGCGGATGTGACTAAGTGAAGACTGTGTATAATTCAGAGAATGTGACTTACTTAAGACTGTGTATGATTGAGCGGATGTGACTTACTGAAGACTGTGTATAATTGAGAGGATGTGACTTACTGAATACTGTGTATAATTGAGAAAATATGACTTACTGAATGCTGTGTATAATTGAGAGGCTGTGACTTACTGAAGACTGTAAACTTGAGCGGATGTGACTAAGTGAAGACTTCGTATGATAGAGCGGATGCGACTCACTGAGGACTACGTATTATAAATCAGATTTGACTAACTAGTGGCTGCGTATGGTAAAGCGGATGTGACTAACTAGATGCTACGTAAGATATAGAGCGGATGTGACTAACCTGAAGGTTGTAAACGATTGAGCGGATGTGACTTACTGAAGACTGTGTATAATTGAGAGGATGTGACTTACTGAAGACTGTGTATGATAGAGCGGATGTGACTTACTGAAGACTGTGTTTAATTGAGCGGATGTGACTTACTGAAGACTGTGTATAATTGAGCGGATGTGACTTACTGAAGACTGTTTAATTGAGAGGATGTGACTTACTGAAGACTGTGTATGATAGAGCGGATGTGACTTACTGAAGACTGTGTATAATTGAGAGGATGTGACTTACTGAATACTGTGTATAATTGAGAAAATATGACTTACTGAATGCTGTGTATAATTGAGAGGCTGTGACTTACTGAAGACTGTAAACTTGAGCGGATGTGACTAAGTGAAGACTTCGTATGATATAGCGGATGCGACTCACTGAGGACTACGTATTATAAATCAGATTTGACTACCTAGTGGCTGCGTATGGTAAAGCGGATGTGACTAACTAGATGCTACGTACGATATAGAGCGGATGTGACTAACCTGAAGGTTGTAAACGATTGAGCGGATGTGACTTACTGAAGACTGTGTTTAATTGAGCGGATGTGACTTACTGAAGACTGTGTATAATTGAGCGGATTTGACTTACTGAAGACTGTGTATAATTGAGGGGATATGACTTACTGAAGAATGTTTATGATAGAGCGGATGTGACTTACTGAAGACTGTGTATAATTGAGAGGATATGACTTACTGAAGACTGTGTATGATAGAGCGGATGTGACTTACTGAAGACTGTGTATAATTGAGAGGATATGACTTACTGAAGACTGTGTATGATAGAGCGGATGTGACTTACTGAAGACTGTGTTTAATTGAGCGGATGTGACTTACTGAAGACTGTGTATAATTGAGAGGATATGACTTACTGAAGACTGTGTATGATAGAGCGGATGTGACTTACTGAAGACTGTGTTTAATTGAGCGGATGTGACTTACTGAAGACTGTGTATAATTGAGAGGATGTGACTAAGTGAAGGCTGCGTATGATAGAGCGGATGTGACTTGAATGATGTGTATAATATTGAGTGATGTTGATTTGAATGGCCCGTATAATACATTAGGTAAGTATAACATAAAGGGCTGCGAAAAAATTGTGGATATGATTTTAAGGCTGTGACATTATAGCGGATGTGAGATGGACGCCGTGTATATAACAGCGCGTTTGACCTGATGCCATTCGCTGATCTTATTCAATATACTTCTCTACACTGAAATACTGACAAAAGGCAAAATGTAGGTATTACCAAGGAAATATCAACTCAAACAATTGGGAATCAAATTTGGAATCGAAGGACACACAAGAAGCTTGGGATTGCTTTGCAGACAAACTTTATAATATGGTAGAAGAACTTATGTACCAGTGAGCAAAGCAAATCAGGAAAAAGGTCAGTAAAGAATGGATTACCAAGGAAGCGAAAATGGCAGTAAGAAAGAAAGGAAAAGATGGCATAAAGATAACAACGAGAAATCAGAAGAAAACTACAAAGAGCTTGCAAAAGCAAGAAATGAAGACACAAAAAAAACCCGTGAGGCAAAATACCACTTTGACAGAATATAGCAGAGGCAAAAGTTTTTTGGAAATATGTGAGATCTAAAACGAAAATGAAAGTTAATTGGAGACCTGACAAACGAGAATGGAGAAACAGAATCGGACCCAAAACAACTGAAAAGCTGAACTGCTCAACAGCTTTTTTAATACAATTGTTCTTGCGGTATTTTGAAACTGATAGGCTCATGGTATCAAATGCATTTTCATTTTATATATCTGTACAAACAGAAAAGGTTTTATTTTGCGTGATACAACAAATTGAAAACAATAAACTAATACCATCTCAGTTCAATGGTACACGTTTATGAATAAATTAGGAACTGCGGGTCAAGTTCTTTTATTTGTAACACCCATCACTGTCTCAGTCTTCAAATGCTTTTACAATGCACCAAAGAAACATAATGGTATTCTTTTTGTTTCCTGTTGGACTGGTTGTGCTGACCAACGTTAGCAAAGGCCTTGTCTTCCCCATTGGCGCCCCTTAGTACAATAAATGTGACGTCATAATGAGAAGCCACTTCCGGGAAACGCGAAAGTTGGTGGCGCTCACTCAACGCAAATATTGATTTTGTTTTACAGTGACGTTTGTTGAACTGACGGCGCTATTGTTTCGTATTATGTTCCATATGCAGCACTGAACCATTGTGATATTCATATCACAGAGGTGAAAAGAAGGAAAACCAGAGCGATGATGGAGCGACAATTTCAGAGTCCTCGTTTGTGAGTTTTAATGTTGAATAGGCTTACAGTAGTGAATATGTCGCACTGACGACAGGGGCTTTTGACAAATGCATGTGCATTGCGCTTGTGATATTTGATCACAACACATGGGATTCGTTTTAAATGCTAGTATACATAAGCTTATACTGACATGGATCGCGGCATATTTCAAGTGATATGGGTTTCCATTGCTTACAAAATGTATGCATGGATTTTTGTAATGAACCCCTGTGTTCTGACGGTAAGTAACCAATATCGATACATAATCATACGTGAGTAAATATGTTGATGACCTTTAAGAGTGCACATATCAAACTTGCGCACTACAATGCACATCACAAATAGTTTGATATAATTATATGTCATTGTGCAAGGTATGGATAGCTTCATGATTAACTGCTTGCAATCGTTTTTTACACTTACAGGTTTGAAGGTCTGGAACTACGTGGTAGAAACAGTCTGTCACCGTATCCCATGCCATCACTTACCAAATCACAGTCTTCCCTACTTATGGATCATGGTATATACTAACAATTAGCTGACATTTAAAAAAAAATAAGGAAGATAACTGTAATCTTATATTGTTTGCACTATTTTTACACAGCACACTATCTTATCAACTAACGTTGACTTGCAGATTGTATTTCATGTTGATGATTGGGTAAACGCTAAATGATATTCTTTTAAATTTCATTACCATGTAACTTGTTATCATTCATATATATAGATTGTGTAAAATACGGCCTTACAGGGACAAGGTCTATTTGAAGCCAAAGGAAATTATATAATGTTATCTATTTTATCCAGGAAATACTGATATTTACAGCACAAGGTCTCAAAACAATGAGTGCAGACTAGAAAGGGATTTTGGTGAAGGTATGTATGGATGATCATCAACAAATCAGCATTTGATTGGACATAATCTGGAAAATGAAATAAAAGCAGATATTCAATGCAAGTTTTCCCCTCTGGTACCTTTCAGTAACGTTGGTACGTTGGTACCATGTTTAATTTGTAATTTGTTTCTCCTATTATTATACTACTATTCTAAAGGATGTTGTTATATACCCCCCTCCCTAACTCGGCAAACAAAGTTTTGGTAGTTTTGGTGGGGGATGGGTATATAGGAATCACCTTCACCATCGATCCATCTGTCCATGAACCTTGTAAGCGCAACTCCTCCTAAACCTTTTGTTGGATTTACTTGTAACTTGACATAGTGAAAGTACATGTATATCATATGTAGATGTACATGAAGAAAGGAATTTGCAAATCAATATTTCCTGGAGTTATGGCCCGTGAATCTTTTAAATTCTGCCCCAGAAATCTTGTAAGCACAACTCCTCCTATTTGTTGAATTTTCAGTAACATGGTAAAGTGACAGGACTGAGTACAGCATCTGTAGATTTGCATGATTATTACATACACCCCCTGCAAACACAGTGGTTAGTGTTTTTATAATGATTACAGAACACTTTGTTCAAAGTTTATTACATCATTACCTAGGACTGCCGTATTACAGTCGGAGAGGATTGCAGTAGATCTGCATGAGAAGGCTCTTGTAATAACCAATATACCTTATCAATAATACAAAACTCTGTAGGGAGGATACCTAGATAAGATGAAGTGGGGGTATATCTTTGCGAGCTCACTCATGGTTTCTCTAGTTGTATATTTCAAATTCAATTTTTGAAGATATGTATAATCAAAATAAAATAACTAAAACTACAATAATTAAACTTTGAATGATAATAATAACTTGGCTGTTATAGTGTTAAGTTCTCTAGATCTGCTGGGACCCAACCAGTTACCCTCAACAAGCAAAGGTAGGGTCAGCACCTTTGGAGATTTAACATAAGCATCGGCCCCCACTTAGAATTTCAAAACAAGATAAATCCAAAAAGACATGGGTATAGGAAGCAGGAACAGTTAGTTTCAGGATTCATTTGATGAAAAATGGGACCTCATTGACTTACACCTGTGTGGGTGTTAAAGGTGTCCTCCTAGAACCTTTAAATGACCCAATTGCTATAAAATGACATCGTCATCGTGTGTAACATATTCCAACTGTTATTTTTATACTGAATATTACACTATTTCTATAAATAATTGATCTTTTTATTGAAGATTTAAGCAGAAAAGTGTGAAATTTCATTTCTAATGAGAACATTTCCATTTTTGACACGTTAATTTATATAGTTCTAAAACTAGTCTATTTCTCTTACTTGTTGAAAAGTTGGCTACCAATAATATCTTTCAACATCAGTAATTTCAAAAAAAATGACAACCGGTAAATTTGTCATATAACATTTTTGTTCAAAAAAAGAAAAACATAGCTTTCTTTCCACATTTCCTTTAACTTGTGTTTCCTCATGACTAAAAGTCCTTGGTTCTTGATATTTGGCAAGTAGGTTGTTAAATGTTGATGACCTTGACCTCGTTCAAGGTCACAAAATCAAATGTGCTAAAATAAATATTTTGTTTGGGGAGTCAGACAAGGATATTCTTCCTTGCTTTATTCGTTTAGAGTTAACAATACAAAATAGTTGATACTCCTTCACATTTTGTTTAATGAATGTGCAATAGGAAAAAAATTATTACTAGAACTATAAGCCAAAGAATAACTAATACCCCTATATTGACCAGAGCTGTAAGCTAAAGGCTAACTAAGACAAAGCATTGCAAAGTAATCCATAGTCTCCCACCAGTAATTATTTAAGTACATGTATATATGTCACTGACATACTTCTTGTACTCCCTTCCCATGCCAAAATACACTTTCATACCAAATCTTGTTAGCCCAGATAAAACCAGTTTTGCTGTAATCGTCCTAGTAGTTAAGGAAGAGTTGTCGTCAAGACAAAGATTTAAAAAAAAAAAGCCATAACTCCTTAAAAAGGGTCAAAATGAAAAAAAGATACTACCTTGATGCACGACATCAGGGGGTACTTACCATATCTGTAAACTTTCATGGAAATCGGCCCAGAAGTTTATGAGGCAGACAAAGGTGGGTTTTTTTCAACAAAGGGCCAAAAAAAACCTCCCTTTTTAAAGGGTCGGAATGAAAACATATTACTTTGATGCACAATGTCGGGGGCAGTTACCATATCTGTAAACTTTCGTTGAAATTGTCCCCTTAGTTTTGGAGGAGTTGTCTGGACAAATATTTTTCAACAAAGGGCCATTACTCCGTAAAAAAGGGTTAGATTTAAAAAAAGAATACCTGGATGCACACCATCAGATGGTAGTTACCATATCTGAAAACTTTGGTTGAAATTGACCCCTTAGTTTTGGAGGACATGTCCAGACAAGGGTTTTTCAACAAAGGGCCATAACTTTGTTAAAAAAAAGGGTCAGAATGAAAAAATAACACCTGGATGTACAACTTCAGGTTAGTTATCATATCTGGAAACTTTTGTTGAAATTGGTCCATTACTTAAGAAGTTGTCCAGACAAACTTCTTCTATGGACAGATAGACGGATAGACAAGCTGATTGCAGTATATTTCCCCCACCCCCACCCCTAACTTCGTTGTGGGAGGTATAATAAAGTGTATAATAGTTTTGTTATTGAGATTATTTTATTATTCTCATATAATTGCATATCTTTGTCTATAACACAATCTCAAACTTAAGTAGCTTTCCAGAGGAAAGATTACTTTGGCAGAATACATATCCAAGAGTTATTAGGGCCCCGTATCGGAGATACGGGTGCCCTATAGTAATCACTCTGTCTGTCTGTCTGTCTGTCTGTCTGTCTGGCTGTCTGTCCACAAATTTTGTTCCTGGCTGATAACTTTGACATTTATTGACCGATGTACATGAAACTTGGTCAAGATGTTCAGTTCACAAAAATACACATTGAGGTAAAAAGTCAAGACCAAAGGTCAAGGTCAACAAGTTCAAAGGTCAAGATCAAATTTTACATATTTTCATTGATGAACATTTTGTTATGACATTATGAAGCAATTAAACAAGGAGTCAACTGACCAAAGGCCAAGGTCATTGGGTCACAGGTCAAGGTTAATTTTTGTATCTTTTCACTGGTGAACATTTTGCTATGACACTTTGAGGCAATGTTGCTCAGAATTAAACAAGGAGTCAATTGACCAAAGGTCAAGATCACTGGGTCAAAGGTGAAGGTTAAATTTTGTACCTTTTCCCTGATGAACATTTTATGACATTATGATGCAATGTTGTTAAGAACTTACCACAGAGTCAACTGACCTTAGATCCAGGTTACAAGGTCCAAAGGATCAAGGTCAAGTTTTGTATTTTTCACTGATGAACATTGTGTTATGATATTAAGAAGCAAAGTTGGTCAGAATTAAAGAATAAGTCAACTGACCAAAGATCAGGGTCACTGGGCTAATGGTCAAGGTCATTTGGGTCCAAAGGTCACAGACAAAGTGGATCTCTGGCTTTGACCCTGGCTCTTGATGGAGGAGGTATATAAGGTGAAATAAAACAAATCAAAGCTAACAAATGAGTATTGCAACAGTATTTACATTTCTGTTAGCCCAGCAAATATGGAGGTGGAAGGAAACAAGACTCGCATCATAGTATCTGTAAAATGTATATTTTGCTTCCTTGCGATTCTTTTTGAAGTCCAAATGTCAAACGTCAAGCTCAGCTATATGGGCAGATTGCTTCTTGATGATTATGGGGGATATATTGGCACGAGATGGGGCCCCTACTGACCTGTCAGTGTTCTAGTTACTGCTGCACATAACTTTAAAACATGAGTAATATAATTAAGTGTTTTGGTATGATACAAAAACAGAAAATGTATCGGTATTTATCATAATTAACATTGATAGCCAAATCTTCAAGATTATGTGAAATTGGGCATTGATCATGTTTGGCATGCTAAAAAGGTACTTTACTGGTTTTAATATTACATAAAAATGATTCTGTAGACAGAATGCATATATGGGAAGTTTTTAAAGAAGTTTAAAATATAGAAGTTTAAAATATAGACTATATATAGGCAAGTTGACAATGTTGGTTATATTTAAAATTTTGCGAAAATTTTGCATGTTTTCCTGATTAAAAGTTTCACTATGCTTACTTCATTTATACCAATATGACATATTTAGTATCAAACTAACAGATTTTTTTTACACAATACACCATCATTATTCATTTCCAAATTAACATTTGCCTGTGATATTTATCGGTCATTTTGTTAGGATCCCCCCGTCACTCAACCTGGTGTTATGCAAGGAGGTCCACTACGGTTATCAGTAGTAAATATGAATAATCATTTATGCAGTTATTGATCATTTTTATGTATCTACATATGGCAAAAGAATAAAAGAAATCAAAGTGGGGGCCAAATGTTGACCCCACCTTTTCATGAATATTTCTCTTCATTTGAATTTTACATAATCAAATGATTCAGTTTGATCAAGTTCCAGTGTTCATTTCAGTCTCGGTAATATTTTTTCAGAAAAAATCTTTGAGGAAACAAAGTGCCGAAACTCTCCACAAGTGGTACCTTTTCGGAACGATGATTTTTGTTGTAATGAGAAGGATTTATATGTTGGTAAGTTCTCAATACATGGAACATGTTTATTTTGCAAGCAAGCACATGTCTACTGAGTGATCAACCTACAATTAGTTTGTAGGGGTCTTTTCCCACTGTATGGTTAAAAGATATGGGTCCCACTATTTTAAATTTCAGTATTTTCAGAAACTCTATGGGTACAGGACCCAGGACTCACAGGTAGATTTATCACATGTATACTATACATACATATACTGGATGAGGTATAAAGTACTTGTTATGTTTATAGCTCATTTTGGGATTTATTACATAATTTGTTTCATATACATCTATGCCTATATCCATTACCAAACAGTGCTTAATTGAAAAAAATATTTAAAATAATTTCAGAATGCAACATGATGTTACAAAGTTATTGATTTCCATCCTGTGTACTTTACATTATTATATATGTTTCTGCAATAAGTCATGCAAATTTGAAAGAAGCGTCTGTTACCAATAAATAGTAGCTAGACCAATACTGAGGTACATTGTACATGTATCAGTGCCTATTAGGGTGAGCCAGATCTCTCAGTAGTATGTTATTGCTACAGTGTTCAAGGTGGAGGGTTTGCCATCAAGACACGAGAATAGGACTCAGTCCAGAGGGCGAACAACACCATACCTACAACAGCAGCCAAGTCAGGAGAACGGGAAGAGAAAGACCAAAACAGCCTTCATTAAAAGAAAGCTGAATCAAAATGGTAACAAGAGCATTGGAAAGAATGAAATGTAACAAAAGTTACAATCACAAAAAAGTATTAAAGAGTCTAACCTTTTGTAGGTATAAGTGATAGAATTGGGTGTCAGAAGTTATATGATAACACTTTCTCCTGCTTTCTTACCTTGGATTTTGGTAAAAATTTGCACTGAATGCAGCAATGATGTTGGTAGAATTCGAGTTAGCAAAACTTACACAACAAGATATTTCATGTTTTTTAATTTCCTCAAGGCAGTGTCAGTTGTAGATTCAATGTAACGATGTCATGAATCTCATTCAGATGATGTCAAGTTTCAGAATGTCATTTAACCAGGTACTCAACATAACTCCACTTCACATCTAAGATTTTGAAAAAAGAAGTTAGTTACCAAACAGAAGGTAATCCAGAGAGCCTAGGTGGAGTTTATCTCACATGATTGTCCCACAGTTAGACAACATTTCACATGTATAGAGGTGATAGAAAATTATTTGTATGAATTAAAAGACAAAGAATTCTAGATCTATGTAAACTGTACTGGCATGTCTCCAGATAGGTTTAGATTTCAAGACTAAAGCGGAAAAAGAAGAAAACTAATTATAATGGGTCTGTATACGTACTATGTATTGTTTTATTACTCTGTCCATAGATATGATGGTATCAGGAACCAGATTTTCAGTGAGCAAACTCGGAACAAACAGAAGTACTTCCTTTAAGGAGAATAGGAAAATATCTCTTGCCAAAAACCACAATGAAAAAGCCCTTGGGCACAGCAGACAAAGATCAGTCAGAGAGAGGGAAGGACTACCATGTGACCAACTGGAAATGCCCATTAAGACTTCCTGTGATGAGCTTTATGGAAACTCGACAAGAGAACCTCTCCAAGACATCCAGAATGTCTGGGACACCAAATTAGACAAAAGGTATCATCTTTCTCCTGTTCCCCTTCCCAATGCTTTACATAGCAAATTTGACAACCCTGAATATATAACCTCCCAATATCTCTTGGTATGCAACCACAATATAACATTACTCTTGGTACGTAGCTTTCTTATATCACTCTTTGATTTATCAAACCTATCCAGTGTTATTTGAAATAGACTGTAATTAGTGTCATTAAATTCAATGACACCACTTGCATTCATAGTGTTATGGATGCAATTTAGTTTGATTACGAAACGAACATGCAATGCCAGTGTAAATATAGTATTATACATGAAAATCATGCTGTATGTATAAGCAAACTTAACCTTTTTTAGATTGGTAACAGAAGTCAGCCGACACACCAGTGATCATGACAGAGAGATAGAGAAGTTGACACGGGAGTTACGTGAGGCCAACAACATCCTGAATGACATTGAGACCAACATATATGCTTTAAAGGATGAAAAGGATGTCAGCCATCAAGGTCTGCTTGCAATCAAGGAAAACTATCGCAATCTGCTAGAAGAGAAAAACACATGTCAGAAACAAATATCCTTTATCAAGAAGGACCTAAACAACTACCGTATTAAGGACCGGCGACAAGTACGGGAGTTTGACCAGCTCAACCTGTGTTACGGTAAACTAGACCAGCGGGAGCGTCTCATGAGGAGACAGATCTCCCTTATGGAGGCTGAACTCTCCCTCGTAGTGTCAAAGCTAGAAACTCCTAAACAAAGCAATGGTAAACCTATTGTGCCTAGACTTGACCTCAGTAAACTTCAACAACCAAAGAAACTGCCACCAGTCAAAACCCCTCATGGTAGCCTGCGTAAGATGAAAGAGTTACAACAAACTTACCCTGTAGTGCCAAATGCTCCTAGGAAGCTGTGCGAGATCATACAAGTTTATGACAGCAAAGAGTCGCCACGAAAGATGAAGCGAAGTATGTGGCCCCAACGTTCCACAAGTTCTCCACTTCTAGGAAATGCTGGGGCCAAGACAATACCCAGTGGTAGAGATACAGGCGGTGACAGCTTTGTTCCCCTGGTAGGTAGCCACTGTCCACTGTCCAGTCGCTCAGACAAGGAAGACAGGTTAGACTTCACCATCATGTCCACGATCAATGGAACATCCATACCCAAGGAGTACAAGGTGCTCAAGTTACCCTCCATCAATGAGGATTATTATGAAAATAAGCAGAAAGCTTCCAAGGAATTTGTAGCTGGGCAGGCACCCTTTTTCTCAAAGCCCAATGGGAACCAGACTGAATCAAGTGCTGCATTTGTCCCAGATTAATATGAAAGTCAAGTATGATAAGTTAGGATGTTAGTTAGCTATTCTTAATTGAATGATGCATAAAAAGTACAAACTATTAGAAAAGTGAAATTGAATAGAAGTAATTTATTGCTATCGGAATATTGAAAATATTGAACAAATATGTGCTGGATACATGTACATGAAAAAGAAATTAAAGTGAAATTAAGCAAAATGTTCTTCATTCTGTATGAAAACAAATTCACCTACCGATAGTACATTAATTGGATTGTAATATAAATACCTAATACCAGTTACCAGGTATATGAATGAATAAAACTTAAAAGATGTGTTACCAAGTGACCTCTATATTAAATCCTAAAGATGTGTTTACCAAGTAACCTATATATTAAATCCTAAAGATGTGTTTACCAAGTGACCTCTATATTAAATCCTAAAGATGTGTTAACCAAGTGACCTCTATATTAAATCCTTAAGATGTGTTACCAAGTGACCTCTATATTAAATCCTATAGATGTGTTTACCAAGTGACCTCTTTATTAAATCCTAGAGATGTGTTATCAAGTGACCTCTATATTAAATCCTACAGATGTGTTTACCAAGTGACCTCTATATTAAATCCTACAGATGTGTTACCAAGTGACCTCTATATTAAATCCTACAGATGTGTTACCAAGTGACCTCTATATTAAATCCTAAAGATGTGTTACCAAGTGACCTCTATATTAAATCCTAAAGATGTGTTATCAAGTGACCTCTATATTAAATCCTAAAGATGTGTTACCAAGTGACCTCTATATTAAATCCTAAAGGTGTGTTACCAAGTGACCTCTATATTAAATCCTAAAGATGTGTTATCAAGTGACCTCTATATTAAATCCTAAAGATGTGTTACCAAGTGACCTCTATATTAAATCCTAAAGGTGTGTTACCAAGTGACCTTTATATTAAATCCTAAAGATGTGTTATCAAGTGACCTCTATATTAAATCCTAAAGATGTGTTACCAAGTGACTTTTATATTTAATCCTACAGATGTGTTTACCAAGTGACCTCTATATTAAATCCTACAGATGTGTTACCAAGTGACCTATTTATTAAATCCTAAAGATGTATTACCAAGTAACCTCTATATTAAATCCTAAAGATGTGTTACCAAGTGACCTCTATATTAAATCCTACAGATGTGTTACCAAGTGACCTCTCTTTTAAATCCTAAAGATGTGTTACCAAGTGACCTCTATATTAAATCCTACAGATGTGTTACCAAGTGACCTCTATATTAAATCCTAAAGATGTGTTATCAAGTGACCTCTATATTAAATCCTACAGAAGTGTACAAGTGATCTCTATATCAAATCCTAAAGATGTGTTACCAAGTGACCTCTATATTAAATCCTAAAGATGTGTATCAAGTGACCTCTATATCAAATCCTAAAGATGTGTATCAAGTGACCTCTATATTAAATCCTACAGAAGTGTTACCAAGTGACCTCTATATCAAATCCTAAAGATGTGTTACCAAGTGACCTCTATATTAAATCCTAAAGATGTGTATCAAGTGACCTCTATATCAAATCCTAAAGATGTGTATCAAGTGACCTCTATATTAAATCCTACAGAAGTGTTACCAAGTGACCTCTATATCAAATCCTAAAGATGTGTTACCAAGTGACCTCTATATTAAATCCTAAAGATGTGTATCAAGTGACCTCTATATTTAATCCTAAAGATGTGTTACCAAGTGACTTCTATATTAAATCCTAAAGATGTGTTACCAAGTGACCTCTATATTAAATCCTACAGATGTGTTACCAAGTGACCTCTATATTAAATCCTAAAGATGTATTACCAAGTGACCTCTATATTAAATCCTACAGATGTGTTACCAAGTGATCTCTATATCAAATCCTAAAGATGTGTTACCAAGTGACCTCTATTTTAAATCCTACAGATGTGTTACCAAGTGATCTCCATATCAAATCCTACAGATGTGTTACCAAGTGATCTCTATATCAAATCCTAATGATGTGTTACCAAGAGACCTCTATATTAAATCCTTAAGATGTGTTACCAAGTGACGTCTATTTTAAATCCTACAGAGGTGTTACCAAGTGATCTCCATATCAAATCCTACAGGTGTGGTACCAAGTGATCTCTATATCAAATCCTAATGATGTGTTACCAAGAGACCTCTATATTAAATCCTACAGATGTGTTACCAAGTGACCTGTATATTAAATCCTAAAGATGTGTTATCTAGTGACCTCTATATCAAATTTAAAGATGTGTTACCAAGTGACCTCTATATTAAACCCTAAAGATGTGTTATCAAGTGACCTCTATATTAAATCAATAATATGTGTTACCAAGTGACCTTTATATTAAATCCTACAGATGTGTTTACCAAGTGACCTCTATATTTAATCCTAAAGATGTGTTATCAAGTGACCTCTATATTAAATATTACAGATGTGTTACCAAGTGACATCTATATTAATTCCTAAAGATGTGTTATCAAGTGACCTCTATATTAAATCCTAAAGATGTGTTACCAAGTGACCTGTATATTAAATCCTAAATATGTGTTATCTAGTGACCTTTATATTAAATTTAAAGATTTGTTACCAAGTGACCTCTATATTAAACCCTAAAGATGTATCATCAAGTGACCTCTATATTAAATCCTAAAGATGTGTTACCAGGTGACCTTTATATTAAATCCTAAAGATGTGTTTCCAGGTGACCTTTATATTAAATCCTAAAGATGTGTTACCAGGTGACCTTTATATTAAATCCTAAAGATGTGTTTCCAGGTGACCTTTATATTAAATCCTAAAGATGTGTTTCCAGGTGACCTTTATATTAAATCCTAAAGATGTGTTGACCTCTATATTAAATCCTACAGATGTGTTACCAAGTGACCTCTATATTAAATCCTAAAGATGTGTTATCTAGTGACCTCTATATTAAATTTAAAGATGTGTTACCAGGTGACCTCTATATTAAACCCTAAAGATGTGTTATCAAGTGACCTCCATATTAAATCCTTAAGATGTGTTACCAAGTGACCTCTATATTAAATCCTGCAGATGTGTTACCAAGTGACCTCTATAATAAATCCTACAGATGTGTTACCAAGTGACAAGTGACCTCTATATTAAATCCTTAAGATGTGTTACCAAGTGACCTCTATAATAAATCCTACAGATGTGTTACCAAGTGACAAGTGACCTCTATATTAAATCCTTAAGATGTGTTACCAAGTGACCTCTATATTAAATCCTAAAGATGTGTTACAAAGTGACCTGTATATTAAATCCTAAAGATGAGTTATCTAGTGACCTCTATATTAAATTTAAAGATGTGTTACCAGGTGACCTTTATATTAAATCCTAAAGATGTGTTACAAAGTGACCTGTATATTAAATCCTAAAGATGAGTTATCTAGTGACCTCTATATTAAATTTAAAGATTTGTTACCAAGTGACCTCTATATTAAATCCTAAAGATGTGTTACCAAGTGACCTCTATATTAAATCCTACAGATGTGTTTATCAAGTGACCTCTTTATTAAATCCTAAAGATGTGTACCAAGTGACCTCTATATTAAATCCTAAAGATGTGTTATCAAGTGACCTCCATATTAAATCCTTAAGATGTGTTACCAAGTGACCTCTATAATAAATCCTACAGATGTGTTACCAAGTGACAAGTGACCTCTATATTAAATCCTCAAGATGGATTACCAAGTGACCTCTATATTAAATCCTAAAGATGTGTTACCAGGTGACCTTTATATTAAATCCTAAAGATGTGTTATCAAGTGACCTCTATATTAAATCCTACAGATGTGTTACCAAGTGACCTCTATATTAAATCCTAAAGATGTATTATCAAGTGACCTCTATATTAAATCCTACAGATGTGTTATCAAGAGACCTCTATATTAAATCCTACAGATGTGTTATCAAATGACCTCTATATTAAATCCTACAGATGTGTTATCAAGTGACCTCTATATTAAATCCTTAAGATGTGTTACCAAGTGACCTCTATATTAAATCTACAGATTTGTTATCAAGTGACCTCTATATTAAATCCTACAGATGTGTTACCAAGTGACCTCTATATTAAATCCTACAGATTTGTTATCAAGTGACCTCTATATTAAATCCTACAGATGTGTTTACCAAGCGCCCTCTTTATTAAATCCTACAAATGTGTTATCAAGTGACCACTATATTAAATCCTACAGATGTGTTTACCAAGTGCCCTCTTTATTAAATCCTACAGATGTGTTACCAAGTGACCTCTATATTAAATCCTACAGATGTGTTTACCAAGTGACCTCTATATTAAATCCTATAAGTCCAGCTGATATAATCACTGTTTTCCCAGTGTTACCACGGGCTGGAGAGAATCTTATTATCTTGATAAAATGCATTGGCTTTTAACTTTGAAATATAGTTGTAGGTATTGAAACATGATGTTGTATTTCATAGTTCATCAGTATATGTTCCTGCTTATCTTCTCAGTTCTAGAAATACAAAATTATCAAGTTTCACAAACCTAGTAAATACTAAATTATCAAGCTTTTTACCCAAAAATCCTTACAGAAATAGAAAGTTTGCAGCAATAATGCAGCGCACAAATCAGTTCGCCAGAACATGTTGCCAGGAGTGCACAGAATATCGCCGCTAGCGATGACGTTCTAGCACACATTTCATATCGCCAGAATGTCACCAGAATATCGCCAGAAGTGCACCACAGATAAAATATTCTGGTGATGTTATGGCACACTTTTCATCTCCCCATAATGTCCCCATAATATCGCCAGAGGTGCACCACAGATTATAAATTCCCATGATCGCCTGTAACTTGTCTAAATATAGTTGACCCCCAAATTCAAAAATCACAAAATGGCTGATGGATGAAGGGAGAGCTCATGGTGAAATGGAAAGTTGAGTGAAATAAGGAGACTTAAATTTAGTCTTTTTAGGATAAAGTGACAGCATTCCTGAGTCTTATAAGGTAATGTAGAATGTTTTTTTTTATAATCCATGGTCACAAAACATGTAAAAACTTAACTGAATTACCGTTGTGCATTTTCATACGACTCTGTATAAAGTTTAAATTGTCATACACAATTCTACTACATGTATTTAGAAGTGCAGTACATCAAATCGAAATCTTGCTTTAGGCCGTGCTGTAATATTTTTACAGAAGTTCATGTTGCTTCTATAATGTATACAGAACTGTTTCTTATAAAAAAGTTCATACTTATACATTATATAAACATTATTGATAACTACTATTAACAAATATCACATTGTGAAATAATTAATATAGATGTGTTGAACTTTGTAACCAATCTCTGATCAATATAAGCTATGAATTAGTATCTAAACTATATGTACTCCTCAACCCTAATCTTGCTTGCCAAGACATGCAGAGAGGGTGAGTCACAATATCACCAGAACCCTAGCCTGTGGCGATATCGCCGCAAGTACACCAGAACATTCTCGTGACATTCTGGTGATATCGCCGCAACTGCACCAGAACATTCTGGTGACATTCTGGCGATATCGCCGCAAGTGTACCAGAACATTCTGGTGAGATTCACAAGTGCACCAGAACATTCTGGCGACATTCTGGCGATATCGCCACAACTGTACCAGAACATTCTGGTGACATTCACAAGTGCACCAGAACATTCTGGCGACGTTCTGGCGATATCGCCACAACTGCACCAGAACCTAGTGAGGCTTTTAGAGCATTGAATGCCACAACACCATTAGAAACCTGCGGCGATATTCTGGCGATATCGCCAGAAACCTAATTTGCATACAAATCTGATCACGCGGCGGCGGCGGCGATATCGCCGCAATAGTGTGCCAGAGACTGAATATCTCTGCAAGGGAAATTACAAAGTCAAATACTACATGTATTATTTTCTTCCTACAACAATTCATGTTCATTGTGATATTTGTCATTTGGTTCATATACCCGTCTTGTGTTATAGGTGAGTTTTTGTAAAGATGGGTCATGGCCACAGCCTACCTAACTAAATGTGTGTACATTTGGGGTGGGTGGGGGGG